TGAGCAGTTCATGAAAAATATTGAATGTTAGTGTTTGTGTATATTCATGCGAGTATTAGTCGACCCAAAGGAAGATTAATATTTTGCCGAATTGCATATACACTTGTAATGATAAACATGTGATAATTATAAGGATTTGTTTTGTCGATGATAAATCAATCCAAAGACTGGTTTGTTGTTGGACGTGCTTTATTGTTAATGTTTGATTATTACAACAAGATACCTCTAGCAGTTAATATTACTGTCCAAAGACTTGATATTGGTGGTGCATTGGGTGTCTTGAGATGGATTAAACCATTATTTGAATATATATTTATAATTATTTATTTTTATATAATGTGAGCATAATTAGTTTATTTCTCGTGTTCTAAATTTAGCTACAATTGCTTCTGTATCTGCCAATTTAAATTATGTTCCAATCCTCAAAAGTATGTTTCCTATTTTGGTCTGTTCTGAAGTCAATTTAGCGTCAGTACCTAGTAACACTTGGTGGTTAGACTCAGGTGCAACTACTAACATTAGTGTTTCTATGAAGGGTTGTCTAAACTACCAGAAGCCAATTGATTCTAAACAAAATGTATATATGTTGGAGATGGAAAATCAGTAGAGGTGGAAGCTATAAGACATTTTAAATTGTTATTGAGTACTGGTTTTTATTTGGATTTGAAATACATTTTTGTTGTGCCGTTATTTAGATGGAATTTGGTTTCAGTTTCTTATTTGGACAAATTAGGTTTTTGTGTTCATTTGGAAACAATAAGTTCAGTTTGTCTTTTAATTCAGATATTGTTGAAACCGTTTCACTTTTGCCTTATGGTAATCTGTATTTACTTGATACTGTGACCACCTATAATGAAACCCTTAATACAGAATCACGGGGTGCTAAACGTAAAATTGACGATACTCACTCATGAGCATTATGGCACAGACGCTTAGGTCACATCTCTAAAAATATAGTTGAATGACTTGTGTCAAATGGAATCTTAGAGTCCATTGACTTCACAAACTTTGATGTTTGTGTTGAATGCATTAAGGGCAAACAAACCAGAGCGAAGAGATTAGGTGCATATAGAGCTACAGACGTCTCAGAGTTAATACATACAGACATTTGTGGGTCATTTTCTACACCTTCGTGGAATGGTCAACAATACTTTACATCATTCATAGACGATTACTCACGATATGCATACTTATTTCTTATACATGAAAAATCACAATCTATGGATGTGTTCAAAACATTTAAAGCTAAAGTTGAAAATCAACTCAACAAAAGAATTAAGTCTGTTAGGTCTGATCGTGGTGGTGAGTACTATGACAGATTTGACGGATTAGGTGAACAACGTCCAGGACCTTTTGCCAAGTACCTAGAGGAGTGTGGAATTATCTCACATTATACCGTGTCGGGATCACCTAGCATGAATGGTGTAGCTGAAAGACGAAACCGGATTTTTAAAGATATGGTCAAGAGTATGATTTGTCATTCCACCTTACCGGAGTCACTCTGGGAGAGGCACTAAAGATGATAACTTATATTCTAAACAGAGTACCAACTAAAGCAGCTACCAAAATACCTTGTGAGCCTTGGACTGGGTGACAGCCTAGTCTGAAGCATTTTCATGTGTGGGGTTGTCCAGCTGAGGCAAGACCTTATAAGCCAAATGAAAAGAAATTGGACTCTTGAACAGTAAGTAGTTATTTTATTGGTTATGCTGAAAGATCCAGGGGATATAAATTTTATGATCCCACATTAAAGATAATTTTTGAGACGGGAACTGTTACGTTCTTTGAGGATATTGAGTTTGGGGTGAAGAATAAAATTAGGAATTTTGTCTTGGAGGAAGAATCGGTAACAATTCCAGAACCGATTCAAACAGTTACTTTTGATAAAGTAAGTTCGGAACCTCCACAAGACATTGTTAATGAACCCCTTACTCAAGATGATTTGGTTGTTCATAAAGAACAAACTCAAGATCCTCAAGAACCTGTGCATCATGAGCCGGGGATACTCTAGTTACTAAGGGAGACAAGTTTAGTCTCAATCAGTGCCCAAAGGAGAATTTGAAAATTGAGGAAATACAGAAGATTCCCTATGCATCATCTGTTGGGAGTTTGATTTATGCCCAAGTATGTACACGTCCAGACATAACATACATAGTTGGGGTTCTAGACAGATATTTAAGCAATCCAAGAATGGATCATTGGAAAGCAGCAAAAAGGGTCATAAGATATTTAAAGAGAACAAATATTATATACTCACATACAAGAGGTTAGACCAGTTGGAGATCGCTGGGTTTTCTGACTCAGACTTTGCAGGATGTCAAGATAGTTTGAAATCCACTTCAGGTTACATTTTCATGTTGGCAGGTGGTGCAGTTTCTTGACGCAGTGTCAAGCAAACCTTTACAGTCTCATCCACTATAGCAACAAAATTTGTAGCATGCTATGAGGCATCAAATCATGGAATATGACTAATAAATTTTGTCACAGGGCTGCAAATTGTGAAAGACATTGAAAGACTACTTAAGTTATATTGTGACAACAAATCAGCTGTATTGTTAAGGAAAGAGTACAAAGTGGACAGATTTCCATAGAACACTTATGGAAAAACTCCATGATAGCAGATTCTCTAACTAAAGAACTTCCGGCCAAGGTCTTTCATGAGCATGTTGCTCACATGGATATTTTACAGTTTGAGGAATTTGTGATTTAGTGAGAGTTAGTCACTTTCATATATTTTATGTTCTATGTTTAATTTCATATATGTATATATTGATTTTTTGGACATATTTGGTTATCTATAGATATGCGATTTTTTCGTTCATTCATTACACTTTGTACATTAACGATATTATATCGATCTCGATAAGTTAAAGTTTGGACCAGTTGAAAATAGACGTGTACAGATCACCTTCACGTAATTTTTCATGCTACACATTTCATGATGAATCCATGTCATTTGGTTATGTCAGGATGAGTAATCATTGTTGATTTTAGTTGCGATGATGCAATGAAAAGCTGGTTTGGTTTTATATCCTGATATGATTAATGGACAAGACTTTTGGAGTATGTTAAAGGAATATAATGACAATTTTGAGCTCATAAAGTCTAACACATTTGTAAGGTTATAAGGACATATATATTTGTGACCAGTGGAAGATTGTTGGCAAAATTTGGGTCATGTATATATATGATACATAATTTAAATGTGTTAGGTTCATTATTTATTAAGCCAAATAATAAAGTGATCTGACTAAATTAAAAAGTTTAGCTAAAGACATATGTCATGAAAATAAAATTGTGTAGAGACCATAGATCAATTTTTAATTTGATGAGGGACCAAATTAGAAATACTAAAACTTAAGTAATTAACCTAATTCTGGTTATTTTAAGGGGTCATGGTCCCCTTCTGGGAGCACGTAGACAGAACATAAGTTTCACTTCCGTTCCTTTCTTTCTATCCCCATCAAGAGAAAAAATCAAGAGGAAAATATAGGTGCTCTTCAGGTGGAAGACCATAAGATCAATATAGTGCTCTACAAAGACATCATCTTTATGGATAATTCAGGTACGCTTTCGCATTCAATTTACAACATATTTATTAATATGTTTGATAGTTAGAATCAATATCATGATCATAATTAATTATAATTTAACTAACATTATTATCACATAAATTAAATATTTTCTTTTATTGTTTACCTTATTTCGATTCATATATCAAAGTTATTTCACCTTTAAGAGCATAACACAAGACTAATTCCATTATTTATTTATTTTATTTTTTACAACCAAAGGTTGAAATCCGAAAATCAAATATGATGACATAAGCCACATGATAATGAGACAGCTAGCATTTGAAACATACAAAATAATACGACATGCATGTTCACTGTCACAAATCAATTAAAGAAATATATATATTATGTACGACTTAGTTTATGATTACAATTAAAGTTTGCAAACTAGAACAATTATAAGACCAAGTAATTAAGAAGCATTCGAAATTGGAAACTAAATAAAAAAGGGTATTAAGATTTATTAAACCAAAATCAAATTTGGGAAGTATGGTCAAGTCAATAACAAGAACAAAAGCACAATTTTATGAACCTTTTCTTTCCATAGATACAAAACCTCTAAAACATACACTTTAAAGAAAAGTTACTTCAGTGAAAATGCTTTTTATCAAATCCATCAATCTATAACTCCTAATCTGTCATAAATCTAAATGCTTTTGGAATGCTAAGGCCAAATTGTCAAAGCAATTAATCCCAAAGGGTATCCATATTCATCATATAGATGACACCTTTTTTTTATCAATAAATCCAAATTCCATTCAATCTGAGAATGATATATATATATATATATATACTGATAATAGCTAGCCACCCTGGCCACCACAAGTTGCTGCTGCATAATTTATATATATATATGTAAGCAGCAGATCATTCACTGTAAGAAAAACATATATAAAAGATTGAAACTGAAGGTATTATGTGTTCTTATTTAATCGAAATTGAAGTTTAAGTTTGAATTAATGCAGATTAATAAGGGAAAAATTCAATTCTGATTGAAAAACAGTGCTTGTAAAAAATACAAGTTAGGATGACACTCAAAGTGTTCAAGTACTCCTTCTATTTCCTCATATATAATCTGATATCCAAGAAACTGATGAAATATGAAGAAAAAGGAAAGAGAGAAAGAAAATTAACCAACAAGCCTCAAAGTATGACGCAGAGGGCACTCCCTTGTTTTATATGTACAAAGAACAAAATCTGCAAGCACCCTTGTTTTCCCCTATAATATACAAGAAAATATAAACCTCAAACCCCAACCATATTACTCAAAAACCCTCTTGATTAATGGAAACAAGAACCAGGATTGACACAACAGGCCAATTCTCTTTTTCTTCACCATCATCATCATCATCAACAACAGCAACTCCATGCTCTTCATCTCTAAGCTATATAAAATATATCGATGAAGCTAAGTGGCTAGCAAGCTCAATTGTCCTCAGGGATGCTCTGAAGTGCTGGTCTCCAAGGCCTTTGAAGTGATTGGAACCCTCCACTGTGGTCCATCAACTGTGACAAAACCTGCTCCACCCTCAACTCCCTCACGTCCACTTTGCTCAACAGCTCCTCAAGCTGCTTCTTAGTGATCTTGATCTTCACTTCCGTCGTGGTTTTGGCAGACACGGAGGTGACAGTACCAAAAGAACCCTTTTCTGCTAGAAAATCCCAGTCATCATCATCATTGTTATCGTTATAGTACGATTGGTGTTTCAAGCAGTTTCCCATTTTGCAAAAGGCTTGAGTATGCTTATGCAAAAAGAGAGAAGGAGAAAGAAAGGAGGGGGAAAGAGAGAGAAGAGAGAGGGAGAGGGAGAATCAAGGTTTGTTGTGATCAATGAGATGATTTTAGAAAAAAAATGTAAAGATAGATTGATAGATAGAGAAGGGTTTGAAGAGTTGGAGAATATATAAGAGTGGGTGGTGAAGGATGGTCACATGAGAATGAGTCAAACCTAATTATTCCACGTAAGGATGTGTTTGTGTGTGTTTTTCTTTTCACGTTCTTACGTGGAAAAGTTGTGGTCAAATGGAGCCCACCGTGGAAAGTGGCGGCTTTTGGCTTTTTGCTTTTTCTCAGTACTGCACATGTGTAATGTAATCTAATATTATTGTGTCAATTTTTGGTACCAATTTACTACTATTTGATTTTTCTATATACATTTATAATATAAGTAGTTTAACTTTTAAAACAAATAAAGTATTATTCCAAATTTAGAATTTAAAGTTTACGATTGAATGAATATTTATTAAAAATATATTTAATTTATATTATCTTTATTTGATATATGGAGAAGAATAAAAAATTATTACACCCATATGCACGTATTTAAACTATCTAAAAAAGCATGTAAATTTAATTTATTGTTAATAATTCATAAATTTTAAAAATTGAAAAAAAAACATACTTTTCTATAATTTTTTGTACTAAATTTATATTAATATAAAATATATATTATAAATAAAGGTATCAAAATATATTTATGATTAAAAATTTGAAAAATACATCAAATTAGATTAAAAATATTATAATCTAGATTAAGTTAAAAATATTGTAATTTAAATTAAATCATAACTATTTAAATTTCGTTAGTTTAGATTATATTAGTTCCTAAATTTATGAGTAAAAGTATTTTATAAAATAATAGTTATTTTTAAATAAAAATAATATTATTATATTATAAATTAATTTAATAATAAAATTTATTTATTATAAAAATAAATATGAGAATAAAATGTATTATTATTTTAAATTAATAAATTATTAAAATAAGAGTAATAATAATAAAAGATTCTTAACTTTTATTTAGAAATTGAATTAATTTATTCTCTTATCATTTATATATTAAATTATTATATCTTAAATACAAATTATTTTTATTAATATAATTTAAATTTTAAAAAATTATTTATTTTTACTAAAACATTTTTAATTAATTATTTTAATATAAATATATTAACAAAATTATTAAGTCAAATTTAGGTCTTTAATCATTAGTCTAGCATAAAATTAAAATAAATTAAAAATTATGATACATTTTAAAATATAGATAGGATTATAAATTTTTATTTTATTTAACGTTCAAATTAAGTTAAATAGTTAGTTTTGATAATTCTATACATAAACCACGCTTTATTGAACATAAAACTTTAAGAAATGAAAAATTTAATCCTAAAATATATAAGATATTGTTAGTTTAGTTATTAATAAATAAAAAAACATATTCAAAATTTAACTATTTCTCAATATTATAATTTAATGATAAAATAGTATCTGATTCATGGTCAAATTAAATTTTAAAGATATATTTTAATAGTAATATAATTTTACAAAATCCAAAAAAAAAATTGCAAAATTATATATTAATTTAATGACCAAAATAAATATTTTATTATTTTTTAAAACTGAATTGGCAATATTACGTGTATTTAAAGATTAAGTTAATTTTATTTTTTTATAATGAGATAACAAATATGACTATGTGTCCAGGACTTGTTGTGTTTGACCGTATTGCTAATGTTCGTAACCTTTTCCAACAATTAACATGTTTATACGTCAATTTGATTACATAAAATTTTAAAAAATAAATATCTTTTAATACAATATTTGTGGATATTATTATTCGTTTTCAAAACAATAACATTGATATTAATATTTATTTTGTCTTAACAAAATTATATTTTTCAAAAATTAATGCAACTGATCTCAAATATTTAGAAACCAAAAGTATTCTTCTATCCAATTTCTGCTACCAAACAAGTTCGCTAGACACGTGATTCATGAAAAACATTTTATTGTATAATACTTTATCCAATTTCTTTCACGTGAGATTTTTTTTTTTAAGTATTTATAATAATATACACATTTGATTTTATTTTTTTTTGAGTTAAAATTCAGAAATTAGTTTAAATTATATTTTTATTCTTCCTTTTTGTCTGGATTTCGTATGATTTTTTTTTTCAAGTAATTAAATCCTTCTGTTTTAAAAAGTAAATAAATTTATTTTTGTTGCGAACTTTCATCTACTTATACATTTGAAATTTGTATTTAAACTACTTATATAGTTTTAAAACCTTATAAGTCATACCTTTGAAATAAAATGTGATGTTATGTGGTTTGAAGAGGAAAAAGAAAGAATAGAACACGAAGAGATATTACATAAGAAATAACGCTTAATTTTTTTATATTTAAAATTATTCTTTAATAGTAAATACGATAAATATTTAACATAACCATCGAAGTCATAAATTATGATGATTAAAATAAAATTAATTCAAAAATAAATTGGAAAATCATTACAAAAATAAATGTAAATGCAATTTTAATATTTTAATTACAAAATTTTAAATGTTATCGATCTAATTCTCATAAAAAAAATGTCAGTGAAGAATATCATTGTATTTATCTCTGATAATTATCTTACTAGAGAAATAAGAAAAAAAATAACACAAAAATATAATGTGAAAACTTCAAAATCGAAGAAAAATTATGATCGTTATTTAGTGATAACTAGAGAATAATATGTAAATTTTTTTACAACAAATAGACTACTCTCTCATGTTGTTTGACCCTAAATACACTTATATTTTTTAATGTAAGAATTTAAAATCAAACCTTATAACATTCTACTACAAAAGTATAAGAAAAATCAAGTACATATTAAAGTGTTTTTGATTAAGGTGTCAAAACATCATATACTTTTAAGTTTATTATATAACTATTATCCCTTATTCCATTGTTTATCTAATAATATGAGAAATTTTAATATATATTAATAATGTTTAAAATTAATATGAAACTATAAATTAAAATTATAATTAATTATACATAATATTTTTATAATATATATTTTTACGTAATAATTATTTTATTATGATATATTTAATAATTTTATACTACAAAAAATAACCTAATTTGATTTATTTTATATTTGTTTAAAAGTTAAAATTAAAATTTATTAGTATGATTTTGAATACAAAACCTAATCAAATCATTAATTTATGAAGACAGTTGATGTGAAAAATAGAAGGTATAGTAAAGGTGGAAATTAGGGAGTTTTAGGTATGAAAGGGTCAAGTTTAGAAAAAAGTTGATAGGTGTGAGTGTGAACGCAAACGAATCTTTGAAGGGAAATTGGTAGGTGCTGTTTGGCATATTTCACAGTATGGTTAATCGGTTGCTCAACTCTCTTCATTTAGCTCACCCAAAAGCGCTTTTTCCTTCATCATAATCCAAATTATACATTAACTTTGTATATGCTCTTCTTATTTTCAAAAACTATTCCTTTTGCACAGTCTATAAAATTTTAAATGTAAAAGATTTTTTTTTGTTAAGTGATTAAAAATATTACCTTTAACCTATTTTTTATTTTATTTTTCTCAATAGTTAGGATGATCTACATCAAGTATAGTACTATCATATATAAATATTATATACTCTCTCTTTTTTTCACTACATGAATAATTTTTTTATTTTTGCATGTGTTTCTTTTTTATGTTATTGTTTATTGTATAAACTTTTGCATTGTCGTGTATATTATATTGTTTTCATATTTATGATGTAGACAAGAAGATAAAGAATATAAAGTAAAGCAATTTGAACGGCTTTTAACTTTAACATCGAAATCTAAAAAAAGTTTGGTGAAAAGCAAATCGTGTGCTCACTTATCTTCTGACTCAAAACATTCCTTGTAATATATATATTATAATGCTAACACATGCTTCTTCAAATGCCTCACAACAAGAACTAACCCTAATAACATAACTCTTTTTTTTTTTTTTTCAAATTAAATTCATTTACATAAAAAAATTTAAGAGGTAATTAAAATTCCTTTTTATGAAAAAAAAATGTATAATTTAAAACAAAAATTTAATAACAATGATCCATAATTCCATAATAATAATATAATTAAGATCAATTTTCATATTTTAGATATTATTTATTTTAAAATTATTGTTTATTATAATTTTTTATTTAAAAATATCTTAATAAATTAAAAAAATATTTAAATTATCTTTAATCTCGACTTATAAATGAAATAATAAGTTTATAAGTGAAAGAATAAGTTTATTAATTTGTGTAAATTAAATAACATTAGGTTCAAATTAAAATTAAAGTAAAAAGGGTTGATTTTGAAGATGAAGAAGAGTGGTGTAGATAAAGTGCTAAAACCTATTGCATAAGAAAAGTGGTGAGTAAAAAGGGTTGATTTTTTATAATAATTATTTTATCTTTAAATTGATGAAAAACATAATTTTAAAAAAATCTAAATTATATATAATAATTATAAATATAATTTTTTGTTTGAGGCTCAAAGTTAAAGATAATTTAAATATAATATATTTTCTTAATATACTAAAATTTCACAACGAATAATATTTTAAATTTTATGAAAAAATAAAAACTATTCACTATGCTAACAATTTTTTATATAGTAGAGTATGAAACCAACTAAAAAATTCTCTATTTTTTTATATGATCGAGTATGAACTCAACCAAAAAATTCTTTAAAGGACCCAAATTAATTTTTAATAGACTTAATTAACATCATCTTCACTCTTCACCACATGTTGCACGAACCCTATATTTCTCAAGTGTAGATGGAGTATATTATGTACGTGGAGCCATTCATCATGAAAATGTTGGGCGCAAGTTTATCTTCTTCACATGGCCACTATTAATCATATTTGGGTTCTAAATTATTGTGAAAATAACATTTTTGGCTTTTAAATTTGTCCAATGTTGACCACAATCTTCCTCACACACTCATGCACTTCAATCTTCTGAGTCATGACTGTGCAATTACCCGCAGTCTGTTGATGAATTAGGGTTTTTTTTTGTTTCATGTGATAACTTTTGTTGACTAATGTTTGAATAAATGTATATAATATTGTTTAGGTCAAGACTTCGGTTAAAAAAACTAATAATTTAATGAAGGAAAGAAACCAGAGTGTATATTGCTCTGGTTATTACTTACCTTAGTTACTAATAAATAATAGCCGCCATTACATATTTTACATGTTAATTAATTACTTTCATTAAAAAAAAAAATATTATTTTAAATAATGTTCCAATATAATTATCAGTCTTATAAATGATAGTTTATATATATTTTTTTAAATCATAATTATAATCGAGAATTCCAAAACATTCAAAATATCTCACTTTTAAACCAAAAATAATATTTAGCCTTTTTATTAGATTTATGATTAAGGTTAGGAAAAAAAACAGTAAAACTCAACCATTTAAATTATTATTCATGAAAAAAAATTGACGAAACCCTAAAAGAAAAAAGTGAATTATTACTTCATACCATTTCAAAATTGAAACTAGGTCTTATATGTGAAATGGACCAATGGATATGAAGTTGAATTGTTCTACTTTTCTTGTTAAATATTTGGCTTGATTGAATCAAATTTGAATAGTTTATGATAACAAGAAAACATAAAAGAAGATAGTGAAGTTTAGCTTTGAATGCTAGGACAAGTGTGTTGGACTAGTTGAGCATTGCATTGAATATGCAATTGTTTTGTGTTGATTACGAACGTAGTTATTATTTTAGTTAAATATAGGTGGTGATAAAATTTGACTAATTCAATTGAGTGATAGAATTATGTTGAAAAATATGTGCTAATATAAGCTTAAAAAAAATGAAAATCGCAACCTTTCAACACACGTGCAATGTAATCACATGCAATGACGATAACGTAATAGTTTTATTTCTTTAGATATTTTTGCATGCACAATTAATACGAAATATCTTCTGAGTTTCCAAACCTCCATTCTTAGAATTTTCTTTGTAAAAATTATAAGAACTTGTTTATATACAATTTTTCTAAATACTTTTTAGTTTTAAAAAATAAGAACTATAAATGAAAATAGGAAGTAAAATCAAACACATTTTTACAAAATTTAGTGTTATTTATTTTGAAATTTTCTCTTAAAAGACACCACCTTGGTGAATTGAGAGGAGAAAATGTTTATAAACTATCTTTAATCTCAACTCTTAAATAATAGAAGACTAATGAAGTACCAAAACATTTAACAAATTAAAAATAAAATTCATGCTAAAAAATAATTTTCCGATAAAATTTGTAGAGAGGAAGAATAAAGAATTGGAAGATCATTGTTATTATCCTTAGTCAATGTGTGTGATTCTTGAATTGCTATGTTTTACTTGACCGTGAATGTTTCTTGTTAAAGTTAAACACATAAAAGATAGAGAACACAATGTTCTAGATCTTAATCAATTCTTTAATCCAATAATTTGGGAAATTTTACTTAAAAATAGATTTATATACATATATTCGAAGTCCTTTAATTTAAAATAATTTTATTTTTGAAAAAAAAGGCTAATTAGAGTTAAATAAAAAAAAATATAGGGACATTTGAATACAATAAAAGGTTAGGGGTGTACTTAATAAAATGAGAGTTGTATGTATCAAAAGGCCCTTTTGTGTTTTGTAAAGAAAGCCCAGTAAACTAATCGGGCTTCACTCTATTCATTATTAGAAGCCCAATTTGAAGCCTTATATAATCATCTCTAGTTTAATTTTTATAATGTATTTTTTTTAAGATTATATGCTTATTTTGTTTAAAGATTTAACCTAGTGACAAAGATATAAATTTACGTCATCAATTATTTAAGGACAAATATTTTCATTAAATGGAGATTAAAAATGACATAATTTTTTGTCAAAACACTGACATAATTAATAAATATAAATGATATAATAAAAATATTATATGAACCTTGTTACGAGTTTTAAAATAATTTTTAAAGTTATAGTCTTTAGCTAAGTCGAACCAATTCATATATTTAATAAAATAATAATATTTTTAAATAAAAATAATATCATTTAATTATTACATTATAATTCATATACAAATCATTATATCTAAAATTTAAAATTATTTTTATTAATATAATTTAAATTTTTTTATATAAATTATTCTTTTAGATTATTTTTTCAAATAATTTTTTTTATGAGAAATATGTCAATTTAATATAGAATGAAACTAAATAAAAATTATAATTAATTTAAAAATATAAATTTGTATTATTATTTTTTTCTATTTCTTGTGTGGACTAAGGTGAAGTTAAACTTGACTAAGTTAGATTAAACCTAATTAAGAATTGAAGTAAACCTTGTATTTCAAGAGTATATTAAATGCTTCCTCTTACAAATGATATATTAAAATTCTCATTTAATTTTAAATTAATTCATTATTTCCCAGTTATTATTTTTAAGTAATTAATATTAAATTTTTATAAATGGTAATTTTTATATGTACCATATTTCTATAATTTTTTATTTATATTTTATTTTTTGACATGTTACAAATAATTTAATTATTTTAATTAAATATTAATTTAACTAATATTTTAAAGAAAAAAATAACTAAAAAATGTATAAGTTTATTTTAATACGTATACATATTTAATTTTTATATACCCCTTTTTAACATTTTAGAATAGAAAATTTTTAAAAAATAGTAAGAAAACAAATAATTAGTTGTTTTTGTAGAATTTTTTTTGAAAAACATTTAGTAGGAAGTAATATTTTCGTTGAAAAATTTGATTAAATCATTCAATTTAGAAGTCAGGAAAAAATAAAATTTGTGAAAACGAAATATTTCACAATTAATTACATCAGAGAAGAGATTTTTAAAAGATTTTTTTTATTTTTATTATTAAACAACATTATTGGAAACTCTTTTATCAATATAATTGTTTAGAAGATAATTTTTATTTATTTTTTAAATAACGACTTTAACACCTACACTGGATATGTTCTGGTATGTCTTTCAATAAGTAGTTTGAAATTAAGAATGTCTATATCAAACAATGTCTCACTTGTGAATATAAATGCTCTACTTGTCAATAACATAGAAAATGACACGTGTATTGATGAAATATAATAATAAAAACATATTTCAGTAATATTTTCTGATTAATATTTCTTTCATTAATCCTATAATTAATATGACAATGTCTAAATTGACGTTCCTACCCTTTCCTCGCGCGGTTTCCAAACGCCAACGTGTGGGGTTTTTTTGTCTTTTGACGTAAACGCGCCATCAACGAGTAACGAATCACAAGATAAGCACGAGAGAATGTTGATTTTTTGAGTTGGGAATATTAACGAAACAACCTCGTTGGTCCCTTTTACCAAACCACAGCGCGCAAATCATCCTTCTGCTGTCACTGATATCCAATTCCCCACTTTCTTCTTCTTCTCAACGCAATTCCATCTCGTCAATTTCTCTCTTTCACTGGGTACGAGTGATTCCTCATCTTTTCTCTGTTTTGCGATTACCCTTTTTCTTTTTCCATTTCAATTTCTCTTCTTTCCTTTTTGCTTTCAATCTGAGAAAAAGAAGGAGGAAAATGGATTATGGGTTTTCTTAATTGATTTATTGACTGTTTTGCTGGAGATTGAATGGAATAATTTGGTGAAGGGTTGATGTTGTATTTGGCTTTTATTTTTGCTCTGCCTCTATTTTTTTTTTCTCTAGAATTTTCCGTCTGTTCACATTTCTAGTTCTGACTTTCTTGAATTTTTATTTTAGCGTTTCTATTGCGATTTCCATTCAGTTTATATCAGCTTGTGGGTAGATTATAAGTTAGAAAACTGTAAACTATCTGTACTGTATGGGATGATACAAATTTTAGTAATTTGTTATAATTTTAGTCCATGAAATTGGCATAACTGGTCAATTTGGTTATTGAAATCGGGAAATAGCTAATTTAGTCATTGAATTTAATGATTAAGTTTGTTAGTTCATGAGATTAAGAAAAACATTTGGCAAGTATAACCAATTTGGTATCTGACTGTCTCTGAAAGACAAAAAAATTAAGAATTTTATAATATAAATCCTTTTTGTTAACCTACTGAGTGCTTATAATGAAACCATGAAAAGATGACCTTTGTGGTCATATACAAAAGGCTCTACTTCGTGTCTGTTTGATTATGTATTATGACTACTAGTACATATGCATGTACATACTAATTTACGCTTGCATGAATAGTGGACCTTAGTGGTAATACTAATTTCTTAGTGTCCTCAAGGTTTAGATCGATTTTACAACGATTAGTATTTGCTACATGTAAATTTGCAGCTTAGAGTCTCCATTCTTGATTGACTCGATTATGAATTTTAAATGGCTGGTCGGAGAGTAGTTTATGGCTTTATCTTCTATGTTGAGAGAAAATTTCTTATATTATAAGGTGATTGGTATTGGTATCTTGTATATCATATATTGCTGAACTTATCTATCAATCATATGGTTCAATGGTACACTGCATTAAAACTACGTTCTTAACTTTAGGCTTTTGGTTATTTGTTTAAGTTTGTCAATCCGTTTTCTTGGCATCTTTAGGGTTGATTTCAATTAATTTATTTCTTGTAGAGAAGTGTGCTTATTCTACTCTAACTTCTTGCAGCAATAAGCAGCAGAACACTGCCACGTCCAGGTCCCCTCTGTGCTACTTCCTTCTACTCTCTCCAGTCCTTTCAAAACGAAGCTCCTTCCATCAGTTTTTTCTGTCAAGTGTTGTTGCTGCTTCTGCCAAGCTCATCATCCGAAGATTTCTGGTAACAAGTCCTCCATGAACCTGTTGAGCAGACTCGTTGGTTTGGGTAGCCCAAGGGCAGCAGACAACATGAATTCAACCGCTGCTCAAGGACCAGATGATGACATACCAGCACCAGGTCAACAGTTTGCCCAGTTTGGTGCTGGCTGCTTTTGGGGTGTTGAGCTGGCCTTCCAGAGGGCATCAGGGGTGAGGAAGACAGAAGTTGGTTATAGCCAGGGGCAGTTGCATAATCCAAGCTATGAGGACGTGTGTACAGGGACCACACACCACTCAGAGGTTGTCAGGGTCCAATATGATCCCAATGAATGTAGCTATGAGAATTTGCTTGATGTGTTCTGGGCTAGACATGATCCTACTACACTCAATCGGCAGGTAACTTTTGAATTTTTTGTTGTTGTTATAAACCTCGTCATGCTTGATTGAATTGGTCTGGTTTGTTATTTATTAATACAACGTTCTTACTGTTTTAAGTGTGATGTCAAGACTTTCCTGATCTAAATTGCAGGTTTTGGCTTGTGGATTATTTATGTAAAGTTTTTTTAGAATTATTCACCGACCCTAGATGTTTGTTTCGTTCATTAATCTTTAAGCTGTTTGCACCCTTTGCCATGCCAGCTGCGGGATTGTTTACTCCTAAGTGTTTGGCCATGTAACACATTCCACTTTTACATACCATTACACCATACATCTGTCACTTCACAGTTCACGAGTTATTACTAGAGTTCTCATTCAGTTAAGTTTTGGGGGATCATTGGAAATACTAACTTTTGCTTGTTTTCAGATTGTGTTAAAGAACCAGTTGCTAAACTAGATCTTACTCATTATAGATATACTACACAAACAAGTTTGGGATGCCCCGCGTTTTTCATCTTTTACTCCAATGTGATTTTTTTCTTGAAAAGAAACACTAGCTTTTCTTGTTTTTTGTTGAGTAATTTACATATCCTTATGTCCAATTTGGAATATGGCATGGACCTATAGTAATTATTGAACATGATATGTAGAAAAACCTGTTTGGTGTGGAGTGATCTATTTCTTTTAAACAAACCTTAGATATATTGACTTTTAAAGCAAACCTTTATTATGCGAATTACCGAGATAACACCTTAATTTTAATTAGAGGAGAATAACAACAAAATCATCTAAGGAATTGCATTAAGTTTTATTACTCCAGTTATCGAGATGGAACTTAAATTCTGATAATAATACCAAAAAACTAAGAAACTGCGTATAAGTTTTGTCCTCTCATTTATTACATTTTATCATGTCGTTTGCCTTTTTTTTTTCTCTGTTCAAACCATTGTTTTCTTAAATTCTGTCTTTTCATCACCCCATTTTTTCTCATTCTCTTCATTCAAATGCATCCACCTTGAACTTCGAATATATGTTGGAAACCTGTGATCTGTAGTGCTGATGCAGCTGAACATTGCTGTTGTATCTTGTGGTTTAAGTGCTAAGTAACAGTTTGTTATTCCTATATGACAGGGTAATGATGTGGGAACACAATACAGGTCTGGAATATACTATTACACACCTGAACAAGAGAAGGCAGCCACAGAGTCCTTGGAACAACAACAGAAGAAGCTGAACAGGAAGATTGTTACTGAGATCCTTCCTGCCAAGAAGTTCTACAGGGCAGAGGAACACCATCAACAGTACCTTGAGAAAGGGGGCAGATTTGGCTCCAAGCAATCTGCTTCTAAGGGATGCAACGATCCAATTCGATGCTATGGTTAGATTATTCATATGGGAATTGTATCAAAGGTTCTAAATGGCAGATTTAGATGTTGAAAGCAGAGTTTTGTTGTAAAGTATTTGTTATATATAAAACTAAGTCACACTCTTCCTAATCTCTGTGTTGTATTTATAGGGTGAAGATCACTATAGAACTAGAATCACTATGTAGTAGTTTATATGTATAGTTTTCTAATAAACTGGTTTTATAATATACCTTTGATTAGTGGTACTTCTTGACCTAAAATATTTTATTTCATGGGGTTTCATCCTAGAGTTACATGGATGATTTCTCAAACATTGAGAGTTACTTTCCGTTTTTAAAAACTATTTTCAATTTTTTAGTTTTTAAAAACTGAAAAACTTGTTTGACAAGATTTTTGTTAAAATGGTTTTTAAAAATTGTTTTTGTTTCTTATTTTTTATTTTTAAAACTAAAAAAAATCAAAATTGATAAATAAGTGTTTTCTATGAATTTACTTTTTGTTTTTTATCATGACTTTTCATATTTATTTATGATATTTTCTTTAGTTTAAAATAATACAAAAAAAAGTAAAATTATTCTCTAAAATTATTTTCAAAATTAAAAAACAAACTAAATAAAAATACTCTATATTTGTTTTAACAACTATCTACCATACGAGCATCTCTTTCAAAATAATAATAAAAAAATTGTGTGAAAATTATGTTATGGATCAAATTAGAAAGTTTGGAAATTTCTTACCATAATCTTGACTTTAGAAATTCCATCACAAGTTTTGGGCTCATCTAATAATATCCTTTCAAATTATATATATATATATATATATATATATATATATATATATATATATATATATATATATATAAATTAGAGATGAGAAAAATGAACAAGTGGATAGTGCAATAAGGGTTAGAAAAAGACATTTGAACAAAGTGGAGTTGCATTTAACACAAAAATGAAAAAAATGCTATAATAAACATTAAATAAAGTTTGTTGCTTTAATTAACCAACATGTGATCTACTCTATTTTTGGTGATGCACCTTTTTATTAATGACTTTTATTTTTGGTGCAACTAATAAATAAATGACATTAGTTTAAAAAAATGTTATTTTTTTATCGAAATCAAATATAAATTTATATTTCACCACACTTCAAGAAATTTCCAATTTTTATATTGAAATATAAATCCAAAAAAAGAATTCAAATGATTAAAAATTATTAATAAAATGAAAAGTAAAACCCGCTCCATAGGGTATACATAAAAGAAAAAGGAAAATAATGACCACACAAACTTATGAACTGTGATGATGGTGACCCACATCCAAGTGTGGACCAAGAGGAACCTCATAGATTCCATTGCCATGGATTTCATCAAAACTTTTTTTGCTACTTCACTCTCCACCAATTAATACCATGTAACCTAGTTTTAAATTTTTAATTAATTTAGCTTATTAAACTAATCTACTACTAAAAATGAAGTTAGGATTAGTAGCCGTTGCATCCTTTTTCATAGTTTAATTCAAACACCACACCACCTAGATCTAACTTGCAAAAATATCACACCTATTCAATAAAAAAGTGTTTTTTTAAATCTAATCAAATACACATTCAAAATAAAACATTAATCATTTACGCTCTACGACAAAACAATTTTTTTTTTTTGCTAAACTACGACATATGTGTTACTAAATTTGTTAACAAATAAAAAGCGTTTCAGAAGAAAAGATAAGATGTATATAATTTTTTTTTCACTCCTAAACCATGTCAAAATATAAATATATTTATTTGATTTTAAATGATTGGATAAACGACAATAGAATGATAAGATTGAGATTTATTTTCCTAAAAGTTGAAATAATATAATATAAATTTATTTATTTAAAGAAAAAAATACATAACAAATATCAATTTCAAAAAGGAATAAATAAAAAAATTAAAATAATTATATAACTAAATTTTTTTATACACGAATCAATGAAAGAGTATGGGAGGGGTGTTAAAAAAAAAGGTTGAGATTTCCATAAGAATCCCACGTGGGTGGTTGAATTATAAATGGTTCCACGTGGCGTGTTGTGAGAATGACCACGTGGAAACTCCCTCGGATTCTTTGATAGATACTAAACTACGAAAGAAAGAAAGAAAAATAGATTGACAGATAGATCTGTCTTTTTTCTCTACTACCAGTCTCGATGTGTATGATAACACATCTGTCATAATATTTATTTATTTATTTTTATAATTAATTATAGTAATTTTACATAGTTTTAATTTTGTCACAGTGTCGGTAGAAACGAAGATATAATAAATTTTATAATTAAATTCATAAATGTTAAGCATAACAAATGGCGAAAAATACATTTTTTAACTTCTCTTATAATGTATTAAATAACATTTATATCTTTCTAATATAAAAATAAAAAATTTTTGACATTATCTCTGAAAATAAAATAAAAATATTCGTATTTTCACTACATCTTCGACAAATCAGTTTTCTTCTCTTCCCATTCAAGCAAATATTTTTATATGTTTGCTAAATTTGACCTAATATCATAATTTTTTAACCACGTAAATAATAAGTAATTAAAAGTTAAATATAACTTATAGGGACTTTTCTTATAAAGGTAATAAAATTAAAGGAAAAAATGTTTAAATGGAAGGAGAGACATTTCTATTTAAATTTTTTCTATGAAAGGTTAAGGGCACAACATTTTAATAGGAAAAAAAATTGTAGCCTCATTATTAGTTAGTAATAATAATGCATGCAATAAGTCAATGGTAATGTTAAGGGCAATTACTCTATAACACAACATGATTGTGACTTGAGAATTTTTTTCAAAAGTTAGATAGAATTTAGTGATACACATCCCATAACATTTTAACATATTTATGGTAGTAATCAATTTTGATAACTCAAACCAGTATTTTTTATTTTTATTTTGATATAAAATATAGATAGAATTTTGATAATTTTTGTTTTTTATATAAAATAATAATTAATAATAATAATAATAATAATAATAATTTATTATATCATAAAAATATTATTTCGTCAAATTGAATTAAACTTTTGAATTTTGATTATGTCGAAAAATTTCAAGAGACTGAGATGACCATTCACCAGAATAAAGTAGAAATAGTACAAAAGTAGTATTTCAGAGGCATCGTAAAGTAGAGTGTAGCAGTGATACGTTGACCGTATAAAAATACGCGACGACAGCACAATAGTGTATATTTCTGTTCTTACTCTCTCCTGATACTTTCATTTTGTTTTGTCACACAAAACGCAACGTTAACCTCTCTCTCTCTCTCTCTCTCTCTCTCTCTTTCCCTCACAGTTCACAAATCTTCAAGAAAACCTCACCAAAACTTCACCCAACCCTTACTCTCTCACATTTTCTCTCTCTGTTTGCTTTCTCTCTCTGTATTTGAAGCTGTTAGTTTCCGCAACATTTCCTTTAATGGCCAACACTCGCCGGCGCCGATGAAGATCTCCGGCGACACCAGCCGCGCGTCGCGCCCATTCCCGCCTACCATTGCAGCCCCGACGCCGGACTCCGATCTCCACCCGCACCGCCGGCCAACCCGCCGGTATCCCCGAACTCCGGCTCGCCTCAAGCGGCTTGCCGGAGCACCGGTTGGAAAACGGAGCAGGCCGGAAACTCCCTTGTCCAAGTGGAAGATCCACGGCGGCGCCAGAGAGGGGAGCGTCGACTGTGGCGGTGATCCTGTGGATGAACTCAACGGGGTAAAGGAACCTGCAAAACCTGCTGTCGTGTCGGCGAGGAAGCTCGCCGCCACGCTGTGGCGACTTCAGCTTCCGGAAACGGCGGCGGGCGATGGCGGAAGGCGAAGGGGTATGAGAAAGATCGGTGAAGATCGTGTGGGAGTTGTTCAAGTAAAACCCTGTTTTTTATTTCTTTGTTTTCTGTGATCGTCCGTTTGTTTTTTTTTTCTTACTTGCATTTGCTGATTGTGATTGAAATTTTGAGTTTCAGAAAATGTTTTTTTTTTCTTACTTGCATTTGCGGATTCTGATTGAAGTTGAGTTTCAAAAAAATGTTTTTTCTTTTCTTGTATTTGCTGATTCTGATTGAAATTTCAGGTTCAGAAATTGTTTTGTGCTAATTACAAAAATGTTTTCATTAATCATTTACTCGTTTTACATTGTTAATAATATAAAACATCTTTTATATTAGTGATTCAACACATTTATGCCAGTGTAGAAATTCTTCACTAGGGCATATAGATCATTTACTCTTATTTCCATTTCTTTTTTATTTGTTTATATGCAAATTTTTGAAAAAAAGGAATAAAGTGAAATTGGGGTAACGTATTTGTAATTAAATGTGAAAAAAAAGTTTTTTTTTTTTCATATCTTTTTTTCTTATTTTGTTGTTGCTTGGTTTTGAAGATTTAGGTTTGACCTTTTTGTGAATCCTTTTTTTTTTTTTTTCATTATTCTGCATGTTCCTTTTTGTGTGATGAAGGTCTTTTTAGTAGGCTTTTTGTTGATATTGAAATGATTTACTCTCTCACTCTCTCTCCTCTGATACTAGTACTTTTGATAGCTCGTTAAAACTTTTAATGGTTGTGGAGTTTTGTGTTAAATGTTTGAAGTTCATTAAGTGTAACCAGTAATGAATAAATATTTTGCTAACTAACGAAGGACGTTATGCAAGAATGGAAAGATTGGTACAGGAGTAATTCATAATCTTAAATGAAAGGGAAAAGAAAATCATTCCAAGCCTAATGAATTAGTGTTGTGTAGTTGACTCATGATTGATTTTTGGTCTACTGCAGAACTCGTCATTGCCCTTGGTAATAATTGGAGAAATGACTTGACTAGGATTTTTCTGTGAAGATGATTGAATTTATGTTATAAATGTTGTTAAGTATCTGTATTGTCCTGTAAATGTTGCATTTTCTATTGATGTGTTGAATGCTTGTTCTTAAGTGAAATGTGCAGCATGCTGATTTGTATTCTTCATTTACTAGAAGTTAGTAAGTATCTAACATTATTGTATTATTCAAGGATTGTTCTTTATTGCATGCCACAGTTATGTAATTATTGTATTTGTTTTCAGAATTTGGGAGTTGTTTTCATTATAAATTTTATAGCTTTTCACTTGTAGTTTAGAACTGATATCACTTATCTGTAGCATGGAACTAGCCATGTAGACCACCAATTTCTCGGCCTTCAAAATGGCATGATGCATGGTTCTGCTATGAAGAATCCATCACAAAGTCGTCGTACCATTTCTGGGACCAAGGATGGACATTTCTGTGAGGTATGTTGTTTTTAATTCATTATTTGCAAATATTATATTGGCTCTGGAAAATTGAAGATCATATACAGTGAACACCCGATATATAGAGTAAAGACTGAATTGTTCTTGCCTTTCCTGCATAATGGTCTTGCACCTGAGTCAGTTCTGCAAGATGCCTTAATTTTTTAGTGGCCCAAAACAATAGACAAACTACATGGAGACTAATAATCTAATGACTGGGGGTCCCATTACAATCATGTGTCAGAAGACTATTAAGAACACTAGGTTAATCATTGCAGATTCTAATTCTTCTGCCTGAATTTACCATGTGCAACAACACTAGACTATCTGCAAACTTGCTTCTCTATAGTCATGCAAATATCAACAAGCCAATCCCTCTTTAAAAGCTCCTTAATTCTACATAACTTGGGAAGTGGAAGTGTTTCTTGTAGCATAGCCCTTGATCATGTTAGCAAATAATCTGGATTAGTCTTAATGGTTTCTATGTCATGTAGTTATGTTATATATGATATAGATAGAAAACAAACTGAGAATATTACAGCAACGTGCAGTCATGAACTAATATTGTGAAAATTTAATGTCCAGCACTCAGGTAACACGCACATGCTCATCCAGGCTGACATGACAGCCACCCGTTTGAACTTATAAACAAGTAAACAGATATGATATTGAAGATAGATCTATTAGTAGTATACCTTTGAAATCAAGTGTTAGATCCATGCTGTGTATAGATGCAATTCTCTTAGTAATTATGCATGAGCATAACTTATTCATATTGTTACACAAACCAAGGTAGTGAAAGCATCGTTTAAAATATCAGTCATGGAAGGAAGCTTCTCTGATTGAGGAAAGAGTTCAAAAGTATCTCACTTTTACTTTCCCCTAGTGAAAGAGTAAACAATTAAAATGCTAATCTCTAAACTTTACTATTTTCTTCATCAGCTCAAGCCGTCTTTCCAGTTTCCGAGTACTGCAATGGAGGGTGCAACAAAGTGGGATCCTGTTTGTTCAAAAGCATCAGATGAGGTGCAACATATCTACAGTCAAATGAAACTTCCAGACCAAAAGGTTAGTACTGTTTCTACTGTATCTGCTCTTGAAGCTGAACTAGAGCAGGCTCGGGCACATATTCAGGAGCTTGAGACTGAGCGCCACTCCTCCAAAAAGAAAATTGAACATTTCTTGAAGAAAGTCGGTGAAGAGAGGGCTTCATGGCGAAGCAAAGAGCATGAGAAAATTCGTGCTTATGTTGATGACATTAAATCAGAGTTGAGTAGAGAAAGGAAAAGTCGCCAGAGGATTGAAATTGTCAATTCTAGGCTGGTTAATGAGTTGGCTGATGCCAAGTTATTAGCAAAACGCTACATACAGGATTGTGAGAAGGAAAGGAAGGCCAGAGAATTGATTGAGGAAATTTGCGATGAGCTTGCTAAGGAAATTGGAGAAGACAAGGCTGAAATTGAAACGCTGAACAGGGAATCTATGAAACTTAGGGAAGAAGTGGAAGAAGAGAGGAAGATGTTACAGATGGCTGAAGTATGGCGTGAAGAACGTGTTCATATGAAATTGATTGATGCAAAAGTTGCTCTTGATGAGAAGTACACACAGATGAATAAACTAGTAGCGGATTTGGAAACCTTTCTCAAATCATTAAATTTAAACCCAAATGCAAAGGAGATGAAAGAGGCACGGTCATTTCAACAGGCTGCAGCTGCTGTAGACATTCAAGACATCAAGGGATTTTCGTACGAGCCAGCTAATCCAGATGATATTTTTGCCATTTTTGAAGATTTAAATTGCGTTGAACCCAACGAGACAGAGATTGAATCATGCGTTGCTCACTCTCCGGTAAGTCATGCCTCAAAGATTCACACAGTGAGTCCTGATGTCAACTTGATTAGTAAGGATAACTTTCAAAGATGTTCTGATTTATTTATGGATGACAATGGTGATATTGAAGAAGATGAAAGTGGATGGGAAACTGTGAGCCATGTTGAGGATCAAGGATCAAGTTGTTCACATGAAGGGAGTACCCTATCAGTGAGAAAGAATTGTCGAGAGAGTAATGTCTCAGGGAGGAGTGTGCTTGAATGGGAAGAAAATGCTGGTGTAGAGACCCCAATGACTGAAATTAGTGAAGTCTCATCTGTACCGGCTAAGCAATCAAAGAAGGTATCCTCCATAGCAAGGCTTTGGAGGTCTGGTGGGGATAATTACAAGATAATCTCTGTGGAGGGAATGAATGGAAGGCTTTCAAATGGAAGGGTATCTAATGGGGGCGTAATGTCTCCTGATTGGGGACTTGATAAAGTTGGATTGAGCCCCCAAGATCTTCTGTGCCAGTTTAGTTCTCCCGAGTCAGCAAATCTGCACCATCGAGGCATGAAAGGATGCATTCCTCGCACTGTGCAGAAGAGTAGTTTGAAAGCCAGACTTTTGGAGGCTAGGATGGAAAGCCAGAAGGTTCAGTTGCGCCATGTTCTTAAACAGAAGATTTAGAATGTAATGTGAATGAACAGAGGCAGAGATTCACCACCTGTATAACTGAAGAATGACCCACAAGCAGCAGTTTTGTTTTGAATTGTTCAAGTACAAATCTACTTCTGCTAGAAAAACTGCTCAGAAATGATGGGTGGTCATGAATAAATGCACTTTTCCTGCCTCAGACTTTGACCATGTTTCAGTTCTTCACCGTGCATTCAGAAGATGATCTTTCACCCCCTTGTGCCACTGCCTCATTTATCATGAACGGCCTCGCTTCATCTTGTGTAGAATTCTCTATGCAAATTATGAGAAGCATGTTGTTTGTAATGTATAATTTAAGTCTGAGGACAAAGATGAAGGGAAACCAAATCATCGTAAGGTATAGATGATAGCTTATCTTTTCAGCATTTTGATTTTCTATCTTAGTAGATGTGGCATAGAATTTTTCATATAGATTGTAGACCACGAGGATGATTTCTGGTCCCAGGACTGAAAATTCATAACAATGATAAAACTTCATTCCTGTTAGGCTGGGATGGACCACTTTTTCTGTCTGTGACTGTTTCTTTGGAATAATGGGAACCATTTAATTATTTATCTAAAAATAATGAAAATGAAATTACATTTTTGTTTCTTGGTCCATCTGTTTTCTGAGGAATAATTAATGATAGGAGTTACAGAAAGTACCTTCTAAGTTGAGATTGCAGATGTATGTATAGGAATAAAATGAAACGGAGCAGCTTTATTTCCAAGTAAATATGATGTGATTGATAATATGTCATGTCTAATAAATGTTAGATGCGTTGGAATATCAATAATTATTTTTCATAAAAAGTGATATTACATATTTATTTTCTGTCCTTCAGATGAATAAGTAGAATAGACAGAGAGAATTAGTTCGGGCATGAAGAAATGATAAATTTCCATGAAATATCAACATCATCCTTTCATTAAATTTATCTCATTCTGTATTTACGTTCAACATTTTTCCTTCTTGTACTTGCTTTTTCATGGAAATGATTTTGTTAAGAAGTTTCTTCATAAAGATACAAAACTAAAGGAAAAAAAATTACTTTTGTTAAAATCGGATTGTTAGTTTAGATGGTTGGTTTAAGCCCTAAGACAAATAATTAAAAGTCTTAAAATAGGTTTATTTTTATCTGTCAGTCTTAAATCTGAAAGATAAAAAAATAGTTTTATTTGTTAGGTTTGATCATGTCATTTAAGTTATGAACTATATAAATACTGTGAGTTTAGGTCGAATTAAGCACTATTATATTTAATAGAATAATAATTATTTTTAAAATAAAAATTAAAATAATATTATTTTACTAATATATATATATATATATATTATAAATTAATTTAATAAGAAATTTATTTATTTTAATAGTAAATATTAAAATAAATTACTAAACAATTATTTATTCTAATATTTAATAATTAAAATTAATTATTATTTTAGATTAATAAATTATTAAAAAATAAATAATAATAAAGAAAAGTAAAATTTTAACTTTTATTTTAAGATTGAATAATCCTTTTCTTAAAATATATAATGAGAGCAACTCATTTGAGTTACTTCTTATATTAAAAATGATAAATTATAGATTTATTGTGTAATCATTCATATACAATTTATCATTAATCTTATTCTAACAAAAATTTTCTTAATAAATTTTAAAAAACTCATTCTCTCTTGTTTACTTTGTTTTGTTTATTTTTATAAAACATTTTTAAAAGGAGTTTCTAAGAAGAATTACTTAGGAATAAATATAAATATTTTATTATAGACCCACAAATGAGTTGTTTAAAATTTACCTGAGATATTTATATAAGTAATTTACTTCCCATTTTAAATAATTTTATCCAATTTTAAATAACTCATACATGAAACCTATATTAAAATATCAATTTTTTATTTTAAACTAACAAATTTGTTAAAGATGTTCTAAGTTGCTTAATAAAGTAATCATAAACAAAAATTTAAGCAACTTATCATGACATATAAAATTTTGCCAATGAAAGATTGTTTGAAGTAATTAATGTTTTGTTTAAGCATTTCACCAAACAATTCTTATTGAAGATACTCTTATATATTAAATCATGGAATAAAATTTAATTTTATAAATATAATTTAAAATACTTTTTTATTATTTATTTTTATTTAAATAATTTTTTAATTTTTAATCAAACTAAAATTGACCCATTAATTTATTGACCTAACAAAAGATCAGGTTAAACTAAAAATTATAATCAATTTTAAAATATAAATTAGATTGGATCATAGTTTTTTTTTACTTAATATATATAACTAAATTAGGCTAGGCTAATTCGTTTTAACATCTCCAAAAATAATTTTGTAGTTTTTAAACATATGTCTATTTATGAGTTATCATTCTTCCAAATTTGTTTCATCAAATTTTCATGGTATTTTATTTTTTTTAAGAGAGAAAATTTCCTTGAAGAGAAGATGTGTTAATGGTTGTAATAACCATGCTTTATATAATAAAGAATATAAAAATATGATTATGTATTTTTAATAAACTTTCTTAGTTTTAGTTATTCTAAGTAAACCTTATTAGTTGTTAATATTTTTTATTATTTTTTAAATTTTTTGCCAAACATACAAACTTTAGAACGAAGGTTAAGTAATGAACAACTATTTTTTTTATCAGTGAACAGAGAAAAACCCAATTTTTATATTTTTTTAGATAATAAATATTTTTAATGAAAGTTTCATCCCTAATGATTAAACATTAATTATTTTAAAATGAGCGAATCTTAGTTTAGTTTTGATAAAATATATATTTTTTAATTTTTATCACTTCAAAATCTAAAACCATCATGTTTTAGTTCTAACAGATAAATAAATAACTTGCATTTAGTTTTTTTTTTTTTTAGAGGTGTAAACATAAACGATTTTTTTTTAAGACATTTATGCAAAAAACAATGATTTTATATTTTCACGAATAAAATGAATGAAAACATTTATAAAAACTAAAATAAAAATATAGTTTAATCTTAGAGGTATGTTAGGTTGATGAGAGGAGAAAAATAATGAAAATGGAAGTAGGAAGGTGAGAAAAAAAAATGAAAAAAATGATTATTTTGATGGATAAAAAATTAGAGTTAGAATTTAAAATGTGAGAGTGTTTGAAATGAAAAAAAAAAAAAACGAGGAAAGAAAGACGGTGGAGGAATAGAAAAATAAAAGATTACAACTTTGTTAGATAATCTTAAATTACGAATTTAGTATGAATATGAAGTTATTTGGTTAGTTTGTTTTGATGGGTTGTTGAGATATCGCAGTAAAATTTTGTTCCGCGGTTAGATATTTGTTAAGAGGTTATTTTCTTGCTAATCTGGTACATTGTACATGGTTATTTAAACTCATCTCAGTCAAATAAAAACACACAGTGAGTTGTTACGTTTACACAATATATATAGTGTTTTTCGTCTTTTAGCTCCTACAAAGTGGTATCAGAGCTTTATGCTCTGAGTACTAAGTGTGAGAGGAAAAACAGAGTGCGCCTGTGTGCGTTTAAAAAAAAAAAAAGAGTAATGGCGAAGGTAGTTAATGGAATGACCGTACCACAACTGTCAAAGAAAACCAATTATGATAATTGGTATCTACAGATGAAGACTCTGTTGGGTTCCCAAAGTCTATGAGACATAGTAGAGAAGGGGTTCCGAAAACCCGAGGAGGACGAAGACCAATCTGTGGCTCAGATTGCCAAATTGGAAAAGACACGAGTGAAGGATAAATCAGCTTTGTATTTTTTGTACAATGTTGTGGATGAATCGGGTTTCGAGAAGATTGCAAACGCTGCGTCTTCAAAGGAAGCATGAGAGATTTTGGAGGTTGCGCACAGAGGTAACCACCGTGTCAGACAGATCCGACTTCAAACTCTCCGAGGAGAGTTTGAATGTTTGAAGATGGAAGATAAGGAGCAAGTATCCGAGTATATAACTCGGGTGGAGAAGGTGGCTAACCAACTCGGAAGGAATGGGGAACCAATGCCAGCAAATAGGATTGTGGAGAAAATCTTGAGATCATTAACAGATGATTTCGAGAGTATTGCATGCGCAATTGAGGAGTCAAAGGACTTGTCAATTCTCTCAGTAGAAGAGCTCACTGGGTCACTCGAGGCCCACGAACAAAGGAGGAGGAAGAAGGAGGATACTCTTGTTCAAGCACTACAAGCGAAACTTGATTCGAATGGAACTCGGAACACTCAGGGCCAAGGATCCGAAGGCCAAGGACGAGGTAATCAAAGGCGAGGTGGACGTGGCCGAGGTAATCAAGGACGAGGTGGACGTGACCGAGGTAATCAAGGACGAGGTGGACGTGGCCGAAGTGATCATGGAGAACGAGGTAATCATGAAGGTAGACAAGGACGAGGTAATCATAGCCAAGGAAGTCAACCAAAGTCGGAGGTGGAATGCTATAAGTGTGGCAAGCACGACCACTACGCAAAGGAATGCAGATCGGCAAATTGCTACAACTGTGGCAAATACGGTCACATAGCAAAGTATTGTCGAGCTGAAAGCCAAGGTGAAAAGAAAGAGAAGAACCTTCTCACAGAAAAAGAGGACGAGGAAGTAGGAATTTTGATGATGATGCAGAGCTCGGAGACCAAGCTACGTCCGAGTTATGCCTTCGAGGTTGAACTAAACTTAAGTTGCGTGGAAAAGTCTGATGAGAAGTTAAAGTCCAAGCTTGATTCGGGTTGCTTAAACAACTCAGTCTGTTATTTGGACACTAGAGCGAGCAATCATATGTGTGGAGAAGAGAGTTTCTTTAATGAACTCACTAAGGTGAATGCTGGATTCGTGTCATTTAGGGATGATTCCAAGGTGGCTGTAAAAGGGCGTGGAACCATCAAGCATATGCAGAAAGATGGACGAGTTGGAGAAATAAGGGATGTCTACTACGTTCCCGAGCTTAAGAGCAACATATTAAGCATGGGACAGATGATAGAGAAAGGCAACTCGGTTCTGATGAAGGATCAAATACTCTATTTGAAAGACAAGCATGATCGGTTAGTAGCCCGGGTAGAAATGAAGAAAAATCGAATGTATAAACTAGAGCTGAACATCCTGCAGAAAATGTGTTTGAAGTTGGACGTGAATGATGAAGCAATGATGTGGCATTTTCGATTTGGGCACTTAAATTTTGGAGGCCTGACCGAACTGTCAAGGAAGGAACTAGTACTTGGACTACATGGCGTAGAGTTTGAAAAGAAGTTTTGTGAAGAGTGTGTGCTCGGAAAACACCCGAGGACTAGTTTTCCGAATTTGACCAGGTACAGGACAGAAAAGCAACTCGACCTAATACACACCGACTTGTGTGGACCAATTTCTCCTAGTTCATTTAGTGGTAAGAAATATTTTATTTTATTCATAGACGACTTCTCTCGGAAAGCTTGGGTGTATTTCTTACAAGAAAAATCAAAAGCATTTGAGGTTTTCAAGAAGTTCAAACTGATGGTGGAGAAAGAGATTAACAAACAGATTAAAGCAGTGCGATCTGACAGAGGAGGAGAATTCACATCAGCAAAATTCATGGAGTATTGTGAAGAGCAAGGTATAAGACGTTTTCTCACAGCTCCATATTCACCACAACAGAACGGTGTGGCTGAAAGGAAGAATCGGACCATCCTTGATATGGTTCGAACCATGCTTAAAGGAAAGAACATGCCCAAGGAATTTTGGGCAGAGGCAGTGCAATGTGCTGTATATATACAGAACAGGTGCCCGCATTCCAAGCTAGATGGTGTGACACCGCAAGAAGCATGGAGTGGACGAAAGCTGAGTGTAAACCATTTCAAAGTCTTCGGAAGCTTGGCTTACGATCATATCCCAGCCCAGCTCAAAACAAAACTTGATGACAAAAGCAAAAGGTATGTATTAATTGGGTATGATGAAAAGGCAAAAGCCTACAAACTGTATAATCCGGCTACAGGTAAAGTTTTCGTGAGTCGAGATGTCCAGGTAGATGAAGAGAGTGAATGGAGCTGGGATGACTCGAAGGAGAAGTCCTCTGGGAGCACGGTCTCTGAGAGAGAGAGCTCGGTAACAATTGAGAGGAACCCAGAAACCACAGCTGAAAGGACGAACGAGTATTCTGAGGAAGACAATGAACCTGTACAACTCAAAACTCGGTGTTTGCAGGACATCTATAACTCCACTGATGAGGTACATGTAGTGTGTCTATTGACAGGTGCAGAAGATGTCAAATTTGAAGAGGCCATAATCGATAAAAAATGGAAGAAAGCAATGGATGAGGAGATCAACTCAATTGAGAAAAATGAAACATGGGAGCTAACAGATCTACCCACAAGAGCTCGGCCAATTGGTTTGAAGTGGATATATAAAAAGAAAACCAATGCTAATGGGGAGGTGGAGCGTTACAAAGCCCGACTCGTGGTGAAGGGCTACAGACAGCAGAAAGGCATTGACTATGATGAGGTTTTTGCACCCGTAACAAGGATGGAAACGATCCGATTGTTATTTTCATTAGCAACACAACACGAATGGAAGATACAGCAGATGGACGTGAAGTCTGCATTCTTGAATGGGATTCTGGAGGAGGAGGTCTACGTGGAGCAACCTCTAGGCTACATGAGAAAAGGTGAAGAGAAGAAGGTATTGAAGCTCAAGAAGACACTATATGGGTTGAAGCAGGCTCCTCGAGTCTGGAATGAGAGAATAGACACCTATTTCAAAAGGAATGGTTATGAGCAATGTCCGTATGAACATGCTCTGTATTTAAAAAAGTACAAAGGAGATACTTTGTGTATTGCTCTATACGTAGATGACCTAATATTTATGGGAAGTAAAGATGAGCTAGTTGAAGATTTTAAAGAAGTGATGAAAAGGGAGTTTGAGATGACCGATCTAGGCATTATGAAGTATTTTTTGGGTTTAGAGGTGGACCAAAGCACGACAGGTATTTTTGTGTCCCAAAAGAGGTATGCCGAGGAGATTTTAAGCAAGGCAAAGATGATGAAATGCAATCCAGTTTCTACTCCCATGGAACCTGGAACAAAGTTATCTAAAAATGGAGAAGGAGAAAAAGTTGATGCAAGCAGGTACCGAAGCCTAATTGGAAGTCTAAGGTACTTGACAAGTACAAGACCTGACCTAATGCTAAGTGTGGGAATTACAAGTCGCTTTATGGAGGATCCGAGATATTCTCATTGGAAAGCATTAAAGAGGATACTAAGGTATGTGAAGGGAACGATGTCATTTGGACTGTGTTTCACTAAGTCAGACAACTATCGACTTACTGGATATTCGGACAGTGATTGGTGTGGAGATATGGATGATCGAAAAAACACAGCTGGGTACGTATTCTTCATGGGAAACACGTCTTTCACGTGGTTATCAAAGAAACAACCAATTGTGGCTCTATCAACGTGTGAAGCCGAGTATGTAGCAGCATCTTGGAGTGTCCAACATGCAGTTTGGCTTAGAAACTTGCTAAACAAACTGGAGATTATGAAAACTGAGAAAGTATTGATCCAAGTAGATAACAGGTCGGCAATCGAGTTAACCAATAATCCAATCAATCACGAAAGGAGTAAACATATCGATGTCCGTTTTCATTTCATCAGGGAGAAGGTGAAAGAAGGAACCGTGAAGCTTGAACATGTAGGAAGTAAAGAACAAATAGTTGATATCTTTACAAAACCATTGTCTACAACAACATTTTAGGAGTTAAGAAAGTTACTCGGGATGAAAGAAGGAAATATTTAAGCTTATGGGGAAGTTTTGTTAGATAATCTTAAATTACGAATTTAGTATGAATCTGTAGTTATTTGGTTAGTTTGTTTTAATGGGTTGTTGAGATATCGCAGTAAAATTTTGTTCCGCGGTTAGATATTTGTTAAGAGGTTATTTTCTTGCTAATCTGGTACATTGTACATGGTTATTTAAACTCATCTCAGTCAAATAAAAACACACAGTGAGTTGCTACGTTCACACAATATATTAGTGTTTTTCGTCTTTTAGCTCCTACAAACTTTGTGTTCTTCAATCTTTCTACATTTTCAAGAGGAAAGAAATACAAGTTCATACAAACACACACAATATAGGACAAAATCTTGTCAAGAAGAAAAACAAGAAAGTTGATTCCAGAACACGTCTACAAAAATTTATCCGAAATATTTCTAAAAAACTCATTCTGAAAAGTTTCTAGAGAAGCAAATGAAGAATAACTGAAGACACTGGAATAACTGTTGCCAGATGAAAACCAATATGATCTGATTTTTCATGTCAAAGTGTCTTCTACCAAATAAGGAAAGAGGGTATTGCCTTTGAAAGGTTTAACTATGATTCACCTCAAAAGTAAAATGTTGAGGAGTTGAAAAGGATACAAATTTCTGTTTATCATGCCCATATTTACAAGCAAGCAAGAATATGTACATGAAAACATGAACACCACAGACAGATCAAACAGAAGGACTAGATCTGAGAGTCTTCTCAAGCTTCTCAGCTTTGACATAGTCCTTGTCAGTTAGGGGTCCAGCAGGAAAAGGGGTGATTTCCACAATGATATGAGGAGTTGGAAGCTCATCAAAAAGAGCTCTCACATTGTTGCAACATACACTTTCTCCATGTGCACTTTCCCTTCGGATTTGGCAACCCTACAATGGTTTTGTTCATTTGCAACATGTAAGTCAATCTTGCATTGCATCAAATTATGGCAAAAAAACATCTCAGATAAAAAGAAAACTGGACTGAGGAAAAATTAAGACCTTGTGAGAGGTGGCATCAACAAAGTGGTCATCATCTGATAATAGAGATGCAATAGCTTTAAGAAGTCGTCTCCCCTCGGACTTGGATGGGACTCTATAGTTCCTTCTAAGTGTACCCTTTGTGGTGGGATGCCATTTGCTAACCAATTTCCTTCCATTAGCAGCTTCCTTTGCTGATCCATAAAAAGTTACACATACTGAACTTATGTACTTTGAAACAACATCATCAATAATAAAAGAGAAGCCAGAGTTAAAGAAACACATTGGATTTGCAAGCATTAAAAGTGTCAAGAATCACAGATTTAGAGCAAGGACTTGTATTACTAGTACAAGCCCAAAGCCACTATCAATATGGCCAATAACCCTACAATGTTTTAACTGTCCCTCCTCAAGCTTAAACAAGTTAAAAGTAACACTAATCCCATAACAAGAGAGCAAAGATCATCAATATAAACCAACTTAACCGATCTCATTTTGAAAACGAGAAACTAATACCCTGATCCTAGAAAGGGCTGAAAAGCACTTTACAGCAAAGGTCATATGGATCTCCATCAACTTGGGATTTTTTCAAAGGAATGAGGATCAATGTATGGTCGAATCAAACCAAGCTTCCTTATCTCTCTTGCTTCCTAACCAGTGACTGAGGGAATAACAAAACATTGGAAACATCCTTGGCAGATAGCCTATTGCTTCTATTGATCACATTCCCAAGCATACGAGATCATTCCGAGTCCTCAACCTTTCTTCCCTGTAGTCTACTCCACCAACAAACTGGTCTCCACAACACTGCATCAAGTATCATACAACCCAATACCCCCAACATGGTGTGACACGTTTGATAGATAAACATAACTCGTAAGCATGTAGTCAATATTCGATCTTTAGATCTCTGTGTATGAAAGAACATTTGTTAAGAGATCTTAGTCTCTTAGTTAGATCTCATTTAACCTCGAGAGATTAGTCTATGACAATTGGAAGAGAGATGAGATATCCTTAATCCGCCCATAGAAATAGTATAAACCCAGTAATGACTTCCTACCAAGTCTCCAAAACACTGTCAGATATAATAGCACCCAATAACCCAAATGGGGTCCTATACTACAGTCCAAAAGTCTTCAAACCACAACCATTCCTATCAAACAATGATTACTAAACCAGAATAGACTCCACCTCACTGATCAACTCACCCCATAAGTTAACACACAGCATAATCAAACCAGCTTAAATCCATTACAAACATTCATACTTCAATAAGAGCTATCATCACTAAGGGAACAGGAGCAACAAGTACATAAGACATAAATTGGACAGACCTGGTTTTCCTAGTATCGTGTGGGCCCATTTAGAGAAACCCAAGTCAGCAGCACCAGCTTCATCAGATTCATTATTACCCTCTCCAATTTCCAAATCTGAAAGAAAGAAACACCTAACAAATAAAAATGAAGAATTTCCAAATTAAAGGTGAGAAAAATGAAAATAAAAAAGTTCTTATTTAATTGGTTTGGTTTGCCACCTGAGACAAGTGGATTGGCTTGAGATCCAGCCAAGCCAGCCTTAAGAAGGGCATAGAAGATGCATATTCTTCCAGCCCACAAAACTGGAGCCTCCACCAAAGAGGCATTCACACTGACACTTCCACCTCTCACTCCTCTTCTCACACACACTGAACTCCCTTTGAGTTTGAGGGAAACACCAGAACCAAAGAGGGTTTTGGGGAACCCAGAGAAAGGTGATGAAATGGGATTATTCAGATTACTGTCGAGAAGAGAAACGCAGCTGAATTGCAAAAGGGATGCAGAAAAAGCCATTCTTTTTCCCTTAAACAAATAGCAAGTCTTTCTGCAGAGAGATAGAAATGATATTTTCTCTTGCTCGTTCCAGTTCCTCACTAAAAACGATGTCGTATTTCACACTAGTGGGGTCGAATCCATCGTGTTTCGGATAAGCTGAATTGATGTTGTTGCAAGCAAATACAAGAATGGTGTTACTATATGTTGGATAAAACTTCCATTCACTAAAGTACATCAAACTTTAATCTTAAAAATTGTACCTTTTTAACGTAATCAATGTATAAAATATTTTTATATTGAAATAATTACGAAACATATGATTTTTAAGATGATTGATCAAGAAATATGTTATAAATACAGCAATTTGTAGATTTGTATGATACCATTTTTCATGTCTATTCATCTTCATTGTATTATTTGTTGTAAAAAATATTACATACAACTGTTTTTACGTTATCTTACGTGTTATAATGATGTGTAAAATAAATAAATATATTTTTTAACCTAAAAAATATAAAATATGCTGTATTAGTCATTGAAAAAATTTTCGTCTTAATTGACTATCTCTGAAATAAAAATATAATATATATATATATATATATATATATATATATATGATTATATTAATCTTAAATTTTTTAGTTTAGAGGAATGGAAAGAACACCATTTTTTTTTTCAAGAACTAAAATAATATATTACATATTTTTTAAGGAAGAAAAACATATTTATTTTTTCTAGTTATCTTACGTATCATTAGTTTTTGTAAGCATTAATCCTTGCATCATATTAATATTATGAATACAGTCATTTCTTTAAATTATCACTTTGTAAGAGAATGCTTTGAAGGGATACTGCAACATTTGTACATAGTGGGACTCTATTTTCTATAATGAGGAGATAATACAATTACATAAAGTTTACTGAAATAAGCAAAGTTAAAAAAATCTGTAAAATGAACTAAATTAAAATGAAAAAAATATTAACTTAAATTAAGGTGAGATAATTTTGGATTGAGCTATTTAACGTGTACCCCAATAGACTTAAACTGGACCGTTCAGAAATTTATGTATGGGTCAATTTAAAAAACAAAAATTATAATTTAAAAAATGAAAATAATATTATTTTACTAAAATATATACATGCGTTAGAATTTATATATTAATCCATTATATCTAACATATGAAATTAATTTTATTTAAATTATTTAATTAAAAAAATATTTTTATATTTTCTTAAATTTAATATTTTTTTCTACCCTTTTATTTATTTATTTTGTAAAATTCGACTATAATTGACTTATAGACTCAAACCAGACATCAAGTCGGATCAGACAAATTTTTTGACACATTTAAAATGTCGGTCGAGCCACTAATTTTTGTTAACCCTACAATTCAATTATAGCTCTTAATCTCCAATTACCATGTTATTGATTATAGCAAGAAATGTGGGGTCTTATTACTGCGAAAATGTAAATTCACTTTTTATCAGTATACACAGTGATGTATTACAATTCATAACCAATTTATTTTATTTTTTTCTTTTTGACAATAGCTGTGATGCAGCATGGTAATTGGGAAACAATTTTGAACCATAAAACATCATAATTGATCTCCAGTTCTGTCTATAGATTTTTTTTTACCAAAGTGCACTTTTTGTTTGGGGTTTGGATCAGTTTCATCCTTTGAACATGAAATACATGGCTGCTACAGAAATAAACACTAGCTTATGCAAAGAAAAAAACTATAATTACAAATTCATATTTACAACTAGTTGCATGCATTATCATTCTTAGATTAGATAAAAAAAAAAAAAGACTAGTATTGCCTAAAAATAATAAAGTCTAATATTATAACAATATGGTTTGCCATTATCCACTTCATATACATGCAGGAAAGATATTGTAGAAAACAAACTATGCAGTGTCACCAACACTTTCAAAACATAAATGGATAATTAGAAAACAAGAAACTCTAATAAAAATGAACTCCAAGATAAAATATAGAAGAAACTCAGCACACTCTCGGCAACGAGCATTAATATAGACCCTCTATAGAGGTTTGCTATGGCTATGTGGCAGAAGAAGCTCATTGGTGCAAGAATTTTCATCAGAGTTCCTGAATTTCTGCAAAAGCACTATTTGGATTTGAGAACAAAGATTGCGTAGGACTCTCTTTACATGGTTACGAAGAAATTCAACATCAGTACCTTTGGAAAAGCCATTAGTTATCAAAGTTGTCAATTTTGATAGGAGTAATATCATCAGCAACATCAAAGTGTCCAATCAATCGTGCAAAAAAGACCATTTCTTGTTCAATTGTGAACTTAATGTTCTCAGCCTGCACCAACATCAGAGTCGATGTTACATTCTAAAAGGAAAAAAAAAAGACTAAATTAGAACATACCTTTCGGAAACCGTGTTGTTCTCCTTCGTACTCAACAAGGGCAACTGGCACACCTTTTTCCTTCACTGCCTGGTATATTCTTTTAGCTTGATCCGGTGGCACAACCTGCAGTGCGCAGATTGATCAACTTGACTTTTGAAGATTATAAGTAGATTTACGAAAAAAAAAAATAACAATTTCTTATTTTAAATTCAAGGTCCTTTAATTGTTAGATTGAGTAAGGGGAAATAACAATAACACTGTTTTTAACCTTGTCGTCCAATCCTTGAAATATTATAACGGGACAAGAAAAATCATCAACGTGATTGATAGGGGATCTTTCATACATCTCCTTATCACCTCCTGCAACCAGTTGAGATAGATTGAGCACCAAACGAAACAAATAAACCAATTGTTAGAGTTACTTTAAATGGTCATTGTTGACTTACCAACTAGGTTTTCAACATAGTGGGATTCAAACTTATGTGTTTCTGCTCTCAACAAGTTCAAGTCAGCTATCTGTTCAATAGACCCCCGCAAATAAATTCCATTGCAAGGACAATAGTTAGGAATTTATATAAATCGACCTATTCAAGTATCGACTAGTTTCAGTTTATTTTGTTTTGATAAATAAACAAACCCAAACTTGAGATTGATTTAATTATTTAAACGAGCTGAGTTTAAATTTTAAAAGTTCAACATTGAAGACTCGTTATTGTTGTTATTATGACCGAGCACATTTTATATCAAGTTATAAAAAGTTAAATATGTCAAATTTATGCTGTTTTTTTTTTTAACATCTCAAACTCATACTTTCAATTTGGCTTGTTTAAAGTAAATGAATCAAGCTCGAGAATCTAATTTTAGTAAATCAAACTCAAAGTGTAATAATTTGACTCGACTCAACGTATTTAGTGGCTTAAAAATAGCTATGTTCTTTGCTGAGGTTATAAAACAAATACTATATTATACTTGATATTGTTGGCCAAAAGGTTAAGAAAGGTATATGTATCTATAAGCAATTAAAACTAATACCTCAAAATCTATTTAAAACTAATTCAAGTTGTTGATTCAAACTACTAATGAATTTTTACAATAATCATTTGGACCATGAATTACTCATGACGAATAAATGGGAAGCAGAAGTATCAGAAGATGCACTCACTCCATACAAAGAAGCACCAACCTGAAAAGTATTTCTGAAAGCAAGAACTGCTAAGGTCGTATACCCACCAGCAGAGCTTCCCATTATACACAACCTCTCCTTATCCACCTTTCCACTGTCCACCTAGATAGTAGAATATATCATATACCCCTTTCCATCAGAGATTTATCATCCAAAAAAGTAGGAAACAATTACCAAATATGTAGCACAACTACAACAGTCATTAACATCAACTATTCCCCACTGTTTCAAAAGTCGTTCTCTGTATGCCCTGCCATAACCTTCCAAACAGTATGAAAGACAGACAAACTAAGTTTCATCTTCTCAAGAAGTCAAGCTGATTACAACCAGATACAAGTAAAATATTTAATAGTGACGTAAAAAATAATATTTTCCAGGAACTAGAAGAAAACAAGGACCAAAACCAAAAAAAATTAGTCAGTATAAGTAAAAGGAAAAAGGACGAAAACAAAGTTCAGTGCTTCCACTGTGAGAAAAGGATGGTATAAAATTGGTAATATTATTTGGAACATAATTTAGTAGACAGTGAGAAACAAACCAGTGCTTCCACCATAATTAACATCCACGACTGCCCAACCTCGACTAGTCCAATACTGAACGTTAAAATTTAAAATTCCGCGAGTTTCTTGAGTTGGCCCACCTGAAATATTCAAATAAAGTAATGTACATGTAAGAGTTTCTGTTGCGTGAAGCTATTAGGGTGAGTAAACCCACACATGGGAACTTTAAAAAAGTAATTAAGTGCAATGATAGCATTAACCAGGTAAAAATCAATTCAATTAAGAAATTTTAGACAAACTTGTTTTGAAACAACTGAATACAATTAAGAGATTTAATGTTATAATTGTTATAATGGGAAAATTGAAAAATATTGATGCAACGACAGATAAAAATCATGAGTACTAGCCTGTTGACACGAGATAGAGATGAACCAATGACAATATGTACTCAACAATGTAGACACAAAATTACTATTGTCACTTTCATTACAATGGTCTCACGACCTGAGCAGTATTAGCATACACTTATAATTTTTAAAGGCAATTCATTATCAATTATTAAGTATCACTAGATATTAAGGTACATATACAAGTTGGTTGGTAAGGGGAGACCCCATTTTCAGTATCTAATTGATCAAACAAACAAATAAGAATATTAAATAGAATGTCATAATTCCAGAATCAGGATCCAGCTTTACCGTGGCTCTTCAATAATAGTGGAGGCTTTTCTTCTTCACTAGCTTGGAAATCAGGATTGGATGGTGGATAAAAGTATGCATAAGCATGTTGACCAGAAATTTCAGTTGGGAATTCAATCAACTCTGGCTTACTGATGTATGAACGAAAGTTTAAACTATCTGGTGAGGAAGACCAAATAATATTGAAATCCACTGCTTTTGATTTATCATCATTAAAAGTCACCTGGAAAGCAAGAGAGTTGTCATGGGGTGCATTGAAATAACAAAGAAATTAAATGATTGCTGAAATTTTAAATTGCAGTTGCTGTTGCAGGGCTGTGGCAGTTGCAGTCCATTGTGACGGATGCATTTCGGAGTTCGGTGTGAAATTATTATACGATTGCATCAAATGTAAAAAATAATTATGTAGTTATTTCTAATTACTATTAGCATATTCTATAAATTTTAAGATTTTTCAGTCGCAACACTCCTGTAACATCCCACCCGACAACACCTCCTGAGCTATAGACACTTGAAATGGAAGATTGAAGTTTGAATATTTCTTTTTTCGACAAAAAAGTAGAATAAATGATGTTAAAGTTCTATGGTGAATAATAAAGCACCTTTGCCACTGATGATGGAAGAACCTCAGATGCTCCCTCCACGTACAGGCAGTCACTACCGGGTGTCGTCTGTAATAAAGTGATTCAACAACTAGGATTATTAATGCGTTTTAAGAATTTATTTAAAACCTTAAGAGAAAAAAAATGAAGCAATTTTGAGACTTACTATATTATTTATGTCTGTGAAAGGGAAATCAATCACAGTTAGCTTTGAGCCCTCTACATCAACAACACCCAGATATGACTTTCCATGCAGCCTACAACAACCAAAACTTCGAATTTATTGCACCAAGTTGGACACAAACACACACAAATTAGCAAGTAGTAGATTTAGAATCACCTGTAACTGCAAGCAATTAACTGTTTAGAACTTTGAACAAATTCATACCAAAAGTCCACAGTGGCCTTGTAAACTCAGCTTCCAGAGAATAAACTGACACGACCTTATTCTCAGACTCAATCTGTAGTCAATTATAGAAGTTAGAAAAGAAAAAGTAGAAATCCTTGTAATTAATCAATTTTTCAGTGGCTTTTGCATGTCCAACTGAATTATTTATTTGCCACAATCATCTTTTACACAAGGAAATCCAAGCCAAGCATTAAGGGAACAAGTGATCATATGAAGAGTATATTAACAGAAAGCATTTGTGTAACTAATTTAACCTGAAACTCACTGAGTGGATCAAGCCCTAAAACAAGCTTACTAGAATGAATCATGCCCAAATATTATGTTTGTATAACTTTTACATAAGCCTTCATTTATAATTTTTGTTTTAAAATTAGCCATTTAAACAAGATAAGTTTGTCATTGCTGCTAGAAATATAATTTCAGAAGTGATTAAATCACTCCTGGAATTAAATATCCACAAGAGCATTTAATACATTCCATAATCAAAATTACAAGAGTTTAAACACTCTACTAGAATTTTAATTCCAGAATGTATTAAACATTCTTCCTAAATTAAATCACTTTCGAAATTATATTTCCAGAAAATTGTTAAATAAATTCTGTAATTAAGGTTCCTAAAAGATTTTTAAATACTCTACCAAGATTTGAATTCTGCAATGTATGAAATGTTCTTGCAGAGGTGATTTGTGTTGAGTTTTGTAACGACTTGTGTTGTAGTAATTCAAACTACGTAACTACGTGTGTTGTAGTAACTGATATGACAGTTAGCGGTACAGTGTGTATAGTTTGTTTTACTTTTGCATGCTTACTCTTCATATAAATATAATGTGAGTTGTAAGTTTACCAACTCCCTTTTCTGTAATACACGTGTTACGTTTCTGACCTTTGAGTTTCTTTCTCCAACAAACTGGTATCCAGAGCTAGGTCGATCATGACGGGTTCCAGCGGAAATCTACTTGGCAATTTATCAATTCTTGATGCGAAGAACTGGGAAAGGTGGTGCGTTCAAATGAAGGTAATCTTTGGTTTTCAGGAAGTTCTTGAGGTAGTGGAGAATGGTGTTCCTGAGCTTGAGAACAATCCAACTGATGCACAAAAGTTAGCGCACAAAGAAGCCAAGAAAAGAGATTGCAAGACAATATTCTTGATTCATCAGTGTGTGGATGGAGCCCACTTCGAGAAAATTGCTACTGTAAAGAGTGGAAAGGAGGCTTGGGATATTCTTGAAAAATGTCATGCTGGGAACGAGAAGCTTAAGAAGGTAAGACTCCAAACATTACGTAGACAATTTGAGCTGATGCAAATGGAGCAATTTGAGAGAGTGACAAATTATTTTACCCGAATCTTGAGTCTTGTTAATCAAATGAAAGGGTGTGGTGAAGATATCTCAGACAAAATGATTGTTTAAAAGGTGATGCGTACTCTATCCCCAAGATTTGACTTTATTGTAGTTGCGATCGAGGAATCGAAAGACTTGGAATACATGAAAATTGAAGAACTTCAAGGTTCCTTGGAAGCACATGAATTGAGGCTTAACGAAAGAAGTGTAGACAAGGCCGTTGAACAAGCTTTACAGGCAAAGGTAACCAAGAACAGTAGTAAATGGTGGAAAGGAAAGGGGAAGAAGGCAGATTCGCAAACACAACAAGGCTCTAAAATTGAACGTACAGAAACTTCAAAAGGAGGTGGTTGGAATGGGAAAAATAAATGGGGCAAAAAGAAGTTTGATAAAAGAAAGATTGTTTATTACAATTGTCAAAAAAAAGGTCACTTTGCTGATGAGTGCAGATTTAGCAAAGGAGAATAGAAAAAGGGAGATGATGATGAAGCTCACATGGCTCAAGATGACTCTGATGAAGAACCGATACTGTTTATGGCTATTAGTAGTGAAGCTATTAATCAAGAGTCATGGTATCTTGATACAGGATGTAGTAATCACATGACAGGCCATAGAGAATGGCTATCTGAATTTGATGTAAGTAAAAAGAGCAAGGTACGTTTTGGTGACAATAGAACAGTGAATGCTGAGGGTACAAGGAATGTGATAGTTAAAAGAAAAGATGGAAGGAATACTGTAATTGAAAATGTACTGTATGTGCCAGAGATGAAGTGCAACTTACTAAGCTTAGGCCAACTAGTGGAGAAGGGTTTTGCTGTGACCATGAAGAATGGATTTCTTGAAATGTTTGACAGGAAGCAAACGTTGGTGTTGAGAACACCTCTGGCCAAGAATAGAACATTTTAAGTGAACATTCAAGCTGCTGAAGTGCAATGCTTAACTGCAGAAAAGATAGATCAAGAGTGTTGGCTGTGGCACTCAAGATTTGGACATCTGAACTTCAAAAGCTTGAATCAACTTGGAGCAAAAGAAATGGTGATCGGGTTACCTGTCGTCCATGTCCCTGAGAAAGTGTGTGAAGGTTGTCTCATCAGCAAGCAACCCATGAATTCCTTTGTGACTGATTTGCCTATGAGAGCTACAGGTTTGTTTCATATAGTGTATTCAGATGTTTGTGGTCCTTTTGAGGTGCCTTCATTAGGAGGCAACAGATACTTCGTATCTTTTGTTGATGAATTTAGCAAGAAAATTTGGATCTACTTGATTAAGGTGAAGAAAGATGTGTACACCATATGGTCTCTACAAATTGAAGAAGGCACTGTATGGGTTGAAACAAACCCCTCGGGCATGGAACAAGAGAAATGATACCTTTCTCTTGCAACAAAATTTTGCTAAGTATGATGTTGAGTTTGGTGTTTATGTAAAAGAGGTGCAAGGTGCTGGTCTACTGATTGTGTGTCTCTATGTAGATGACTTGCTTATCACGGGCAATAATTTGCTAGAGATAGAAGGCTTTAAGGAGAAGATGAAATTAGAGTTTGAGATGACTGATTTAGGTACCTCTAACATACTTTCTTGGTATGGAGATTGCCTATACCAGCCATGGAATAGTTCTGCATCAGAGGAAATACACAAGAGAGATACTCAAGAAGTTTAAGATGGAGAATTGTAATGAAGCATCAACACCGGCTGAGACAAATGTGAAGCTATTCCAGAATAATGAAGAGAATGCAGTGGACAACACTTTGTATAAGCAAATGGTGGGATCTTTGAAATTTTTGGGTCATAGCAGACCAGATATCAGTTATGGAGTTGGGCTGGTCAGTAGGTTTATGAGTGAACCAAAGGTATCACACATGGTAGCAACAAAACGAATATTGAGATATCTTAAAGGGACCCAGGATTATGGGCTCTTATACCCAAAAGCTAAAGGGCAAATTAAAGCAGAATTTGAGGCATACACAGACTCAGATTGGGGAGGTGACAAAGTGGAAAGGAAAAACACATCTGGTTACTTCTTCAACTTCCTGAATGCACCTGTATCTTGGTGCTCAAAGAAGCAAAGTGTTATTGCTCTTTCTTCATGTGAGGCAGAGTATATTGCTGCCTGTTCTGCTACTTGCCAAGCCTTGTGGTTGGGGTCTTTGCTCGAAGGAATGAAGATTGAGTACAAAAAGCCAGTTCAACTTTTTGTTGACAATAAATCAACCATAAGTCTTGCGAAGAACCCGGTGGCACATGGAAGAAGCAAACACATTGAGACAAGATATCACTTTTTGAGAGATCAAGTTAAGAAAGGAAAGATAGAACTGATATATTGCAGTACTGAGTTACAAGTTGCGGTTGTGTTTACAAAAGCATTGAAGATAGAAAGGTTCAAGGAGCTAAGGGAAAAGTTATGTGTATTATCTCTAGATAGTTTGAATTAAGGGGAAGTGTGAGTTTTGTAACGACTTGTGTTGTAGTAATTCAAACTATGTAACTACGTGTGTTGTAGTAACTGATATGACAGTTAGCGGTACGGTGTGTATAGTTTGTTTTACTTTTGCATGCTTACTCTTCGTATAAATATAATGTGTGAGTTGTAAGTTTAACAACTCCCTTTTTCTGTAATATACGTGTTATGTTTCTGACCTTTGAGTTTATTTCTCCAACAATTTGTATATCAGAGATCACTTCCACTGTTATATAGAAGTAATTTTGGAACAACAATTAAAAAAGAGAGGGTGCAGTTAGCAAAAAAAAAAAAGGGAAAGTGGTTGGAAAAGCAATTTCCTTTATCTAATAGAAATTCTATTTTTTTCAAAACGTCATAGAAATTCTATTTTTTCAAAACCAGCAAACATATATTGATCATGAAATACACCTAGTTAACTACAAATCCTTCATCTAGATTTGATTATCAATTTGTACCAACCAAACGTCCAAAAATTTTATATAAACAACATGATCTTCCACTTAATTTGGAAATTATTCAATTATTAAAGAGTATTTCTTTAATGTAAACGTTAACATGAAAACCATCTCAAAAGAACAAAGAAATAAAAATAAGTTGTACAATAAGGTCCCAGATTCTGCTACATGTAAAAATATTATAAAAAAAAATGCAAAAAATCATGAAAGGACCAAATCAAAACTCATGATGCAAATGCCAAAGAACAACAGATACTACATTAGTTAATGGCAAAAGAGTATTTATTAATGCAGAAATTGGAAAATCAGAAGTTCCTGAAAAATACTACATATAATTATGGATTGGAGAAATAATAGTTGAATAAAATTACCCATTTGTGGAGATTCCAATAACCACTTTCCCTATCTGTGATGAAAAACAACTCGCCTGCATAGTCACAAAAAATATAATAACCAGAATGAATGCAGAGAAAGATCAAAATATTTTGATGTTAGTGGTAAATTATGAATCACTTCAATCAATGTGGATAGCAATCAACATGAAAGTAAAATCCATGAAAGTTTTAAATCCTGAGAGGTCACAAATTAAAATAGATCAAGATCCTGAGCCTCTGTCTGGAGTAATCATGAAATGTTGATCTTATGAAAACATTTAATGAACAAAAATTATAATGACTTGATGTTCTTAAGAAAACATTTACCAAACAAAACTAAATAATTGATGCTACTGTTAATATGTCAACTTTTGGTTGTATAAAACTAGCAAGTATTGTTTGTGGTAGGGAGTTACAGAAAGGCTAGTTTATGTACCCTCAGAGGACCACTTGGGCTCAGTTGGAGACTCCACAAGTGAAGGATCATTCCCAGCAACACAAACACGTTTGTAGATCTCACTGCAGCAAACCTAGAGATGATTAAGCTTGAAGTTGAAACATGAACTACACACACCAAAAAACATGTAATCCAACTATCATCTAGAACTTGAAAATGAGATCTAGAAAACGTAATGATGGGTAAAGAGGAAAAACATTTTAGAGGGAATAAAATCTATGCATGACCTTGTATAAAAATAGCATGGAGACAAGAGGATGGATAAGTTGTGTTAATAGTTGAGATTTGAAATGTGGATACAAACCAAGTGAATCTTGCATCCTTTTCTTAATTATGAAATAGGGAAACACCATAGGGTGTTACACAGTCAACAAAATATTAGACATAAGTTGGATTATTTGGAAAAGAACTGAATATATCTCCAAAAGCACCAACACTAGGTGTTAATATTTAAGCACATCATATCATAGATAGTCTTGTAATAAATTTGAAAAACCAAAACACACATCAGAAGTGAAAACGGTACTTCCTTGCCACGATTGGGAGATCTACATGGCTACATGTTAAGCAAACTATCTTAATTCATACAACTTTACAAGTTACGAGTACCATAACAGCAGAGAAGTTCGCTCACCCATTTTCAGAGACATAGCCAACCCAAAGTTCTGCTTTATCCCATGGCATGTTGGGGTGATTCCACTGAATCCATGCTATTCTTTCACTTTTAGAATCTAGACGGGGGAAAGCATAGAAGTCACTCCCACCAACTAGCACTACTGGTTCTGAATGTCACAAAATAGAGTCAGACATCATATCCAATTGAGGTGTAACGAAAGCAACCATCAAGCAACTGAAAATAACACAATCTTTTGAAAACCTTGGACAAGCAACAATGAAATACTCATCTGTGATATTCATTCAACCTCTCCACAGGTTCAACATACGAGTAAGATGGAAACGTTTACCCTGAACATCATTGCTGCCAAGTGCTATGGATACAATTGTTGTAGGTGGATTTAGACTGCTTTCGCGACGATCTAGCAACATGATTAAGCTTTTATGACCATATTAATGGATGGTTTAACAATAAAAATTACTCAGGGACATTCTAACATGCGCCTTTAAGATAAACTGATTGTGGATTTCTTACCTTCCCTAACACTAAGAAAACGGTTAAAGCGTACGTCAATATTCCATCAGCATAGCTGACTAATGGTCCACCATAATCCGGAGTGAGTGGTACAGGAGGCTCATCTGCAAGACAATGAGTCATAAAATTCAAGCAATGAAATACAAAGAATGCTTCAAACACACCCTTTGAAATTTACATAATACAAATCAATAATCCTAGATTAATTGAATGAAATGGTACTAACATACTATTTTGAATACACGTTTTGTTCTTCTCAATTGAGTTATCACTTTAGAGAAAAAATTTAAGTAATCTGGATACTGAAGAGAAAATCAACTGTTGATATCACCTTCATGTTCCGGTCGCCTAAAAGTATTACATCGCTTACTAGTCGAGTTGAATAATAAGCTTACATACACCTTTTTCCTAAATTTATTAAGATATTTCTAAAGTGACGGAAAGAAGAGCAATAAATTAACAAAACAATCCATATTAGACGATGGACCTGAGATTAGAAAGAATTAAAATAAGTAAGTGTAATTAAAATTTTTACTAGATGCATTATACAATTACAGGAAAGCGCATTTTTACACATCTCAGATATAATTTTTTTTCCAGTTTTAAAACATTTGTCTTTCTTAATAAGAAAACAAAATAAGATGTAACTAACATAGATAGAACTACACATCAGACAACATTGTATCGGAAAATGTGGTTAATGAAGAATGAAAATTGACGGTCGTTCAGTGCTCACCTAGTGAAGTAATGGACTGCTTGTATAATCTCTGATCATCGAAATTTGCGAAGAAGAGAATATCCCCCGAAACAGTGAAAGCACCACCTCCATATTCCTGAGCCAATGTTCTCACTCCAAACCCCTTCGGAGTAATATCCACGGCTTCACCTCCTATGTTTTCTGGCTCAAGAACAACAACTCCACGCCTGAACCAAAAAGACAGTGACCAAACCAAACAAAAATTATTTAATATTTTATTAAAGTAATTAGAAATATGTATCTGTTAAATTTTAAAAATAATAATGTAATCTTGGAAGATATTAACATTAAAATATTCTGGAGCCCATTTTAACGTCTTTGAATATCAAGTCATTTTTTATTTGACAAAAAGAAGAAAATTTAAAAACATTTTATTTTTCATGTTTTTTATTCTTTAAAATATTTTTAAAATAGTGGTTAAAAAGTGAAAATATTGATTATCGAATTTAATAAAATAATATTTTTATATTATAATAAATATATGATAAACTTATTAATAATATTATTTGATATAAAAGAAAAAATAATAAAAATTATTGTCATAAAATATAATAAAAATTATAAATATAAAATATATTAAAAAAAAGATATAATAATTAAAATAGGATAAAAATATAATAAAATAATTATTATATTTTTTATGAAAAGTTATATTAAAAAAATTAATTTTAATTATCTTTTTAAAAATTGGTTTCATCTAAAAATTTAATTAATTTTTTTGATGTGTTAGTTTAATTAAAAATTAATTATTTAAAAATAACTTATTCTAAATGGTCGGTTGAACAAGGAGATCCGACCCAATTTTTAAAATAGTATTTTAAATTAAACAAAACATTATAATTCCACTATTTTGAAAATTTTAATTATTCCTTTTACTAATAATGGGGTTAGTGTTTTATACTTTTATATCAATAATTCTTTTCTTTCAAACTTAATAAAACATGTGTTATTTCTTTTTACTAATAAAAGATGTGAATTTAACATATAGTCTTTATGCACATAGATTTAAGAAAAATAATAATAATAATGATACAGTCTTTACTAAAATCTACAAAATTTGATAACTTTACTTCTCTTTTAATAATATCATTTCTTCATTTTGTAATTTGTAATAAATATCAACCTCTGATAAATTATACATTAATTAAAAAACAAATAGTTAGCCCTCGTACAATAATCATATTCAATAAAAATAAACATATTAACAACATTTTTCTCAAAAGTAAACGAAAATAGGAATGGCAAAACGGGTCGAGTCCCGCTTTGACCGTCAAAAGCGGGCGAGTTGGCCCGATATAGTCATGATGGGTTGTAGACCTTGACCCACCTCGTCAAAGGGCGGGTTGATGGTGCTACTGCCATAATTTAGAAAAAATAATTTATTTTTTATAATAACTTTTTTAATAAATTTAATAATAAAATTATTATTTGTTTGTCAATAATTTAATATATATATTATTTTAATTTAATAATATAAATCAATACATTATTTTAACAAATTATAATTTAGAACAATCATAAAATTTACATAATAATAATTAATAACAAATATATATATATATATATATATATATATAACGTTAAAACTTATAAAATTTATATTTTTTATATTGAAAAATTCAAATATTTATATCTTTTTTATTTGATAAAACTTCACATTATTCTTGGTTGAGTAATTCTTACACTTTTAATTTAAGTCATAAGGATAAAAATAATCAATGCTTAGGATGAACAAGGAGAACAAGAGAGAATGTTGTGTTTCGAGTAAAGAGAATATTTTCTACGTGAGAGTCAAACTTTTTTAATTCTTTTTTTAAAATTTATAACTTTATATATTATCTTTATAATTAATTTTATTACAATAAAATTTATTTTTTTATTAATTAGATGGGTTGTGGGCTGACCCGTCCTGTCCTACTGGTTGGCCCGACAGGTTGGCAGGACGGCCAAAGCAGGCTGGTGAGTGAAAACACCAACCCGTCCCGCCATATTATGGAGGGCTGGCGGGCATACCCGTGCGGGTCTGACCCGTTTTGCCATCTAAGAATAGTAGATTTAAGTGGTTTGATAATTTTTTTTCTAGTAATTTAGTTATTTAAAAATAAAATTAAAAATTTTATTTACAGATGAGTTATTTATACTTAAAATTTGGTTAGAATGTTTATATAAATAAAATTATTCTAATTTTAAGTTTTTTTTTTAAATAATTTAGATGTAAGATCTATAATTTTTTATTTTTTCTAAATAATTTTTGTTAGGAACTGGCTTTACATGTTCTAACGGATAATTGAAAGGTCTCTTACTTACCCTGATTCCAATGGACGGAATTCCAGCCAGATGAGGCGGCCACGGCCATCGACGGCAGTGCCACCGAGGTCCTTGGTTGCGCCGGACACAACGTCGCCGGTAATCGGAGACTTCCATGAGCCATAGGGAGCAGTGGTGACGATGGATGCGGAGAACGCCGTTTTTGTCGTGCTCTTTCTATGAAACAAATTAAAACTGAGTTTGTCTTTTGAAGGAAAACAACACATTCTTTTCGGTGGTTTTAGATTTATGAGTGAAAAAAAAAAAGACGAAAAAAAAGTAAAAAATAAATTTATTTTAATAAAAAGGTAGAAATAAGTGAAAAATTAAATTAAATTATTTATTATTAATAATTTTATTTATTATTTTAATATAATTTTTAGTTATTTATTATTATAATAAAATAAAAATAAAAAACATATTAATTAATTATTTTTAATATAATTAATTATTTTCTTATACATTATAAATTATATAATATAATATTATTATCTCTAATTTTATAATTTTTTTTTCATTTTATTAAGCTTTTTCATCAGTGAATTTTTAATGCATAAGAGTGTGGTTCATTAACAAAATTTAAAAATCAACTATTATAACATTTTTTCTTTATAATAAACAAATTCATTATTAAATAATTTCTTAAAAAAATAAACTAATATCATATTAAATACTTAAATTCTTATATAAATGATACATAATTGATTCTCGTGGAGAAACTACGTATAAGAGAAGTATCCATGATTAAAGAAAGGAATAATTTTCAACAGTGAAACTGGTAATAGGTCAAATAAATCTAATCGTAATAGATGCGAGATTATTAATTGATTTTAAGTTGTAATTTTTAAATTAAAAAAAGCAAAAATATATATTTATGGTACCACTCCCAATGATCTGAGAAAAAGATTCCTTTGCGCATGCATGATTTCTGCAGTGGTTCAGAAATTTTGTATTTATTTTCTTAGTGAAAGATAAGTCTGTAACACGTGTAATGCATGCACTTAGCGACTTGTTTGGCTAATAATTTACCTTACACGTGAAATGAAATTACCATGTGGACTCGTGATCGTTCCACCAAACAGAGTTCAAATGGAAACCACCTAAATGATTTTGGAAGTACATATAAATGAACATGTATGACTAGGAACAACCACAAATATTAAAAAATATAAATGATTTTGGAAGTGTTTTGAAATGGATTAGGTTAGATTTTTATATTTTATTTTTATTTGATTTAATTTAATTTAATTTTTTCTTAATGCATTTGTAATTTGAATTAATTGGATTATAAGTATTTTTAAAATAAAGTAAATTATTTTTTATTTAAATAATTTAATATTTTAAAAATATATTATTTATTTAATATAATAATTGAATAAATTAAAAAATAAATATATTATTATTATTAAAAATTATTTAATAATTTTTATTTAGTGTGTTGGATTAGATTTCGGATTCAACATAAGAAATATGTTATTCAATTATAAATAAAACCAACCCGATATAATAATATTAAAATATTAATAACAATTTATAATAAAGATGATAATATTGTGTATGGTTCTTCACAAATATTTTAGTCTTTTAATTTTAATAAACTTTATTCTTCGTATTAATTTAATTTATACAATGATGTAACATGGTTATTTATTTGACCTAGATGATGATAACTCTATTTGATTCCATTTTTTTAATAAAATATTTTATTTTAAAATTATTTTTTTTCATTTTGATTTAGATAGATTTAATTCTCATTATTATTTTAAAATTATTGAACATGTTTATAAAAAATTAGTAAATATTTTATGATAAAAATTTGTCAGATAAAAAATATATTTTTATTTTTTTACATTTGATGTTATATGCATGATTTAAAATTTCTCTCATATTTATTAATAAATTATATAATTTTATAATTAAAAATTACAATACAATCAAACCATAATATAATAACTGATTTGATTATTAATTTAGAATTTTCAATCAAATATTCTATTCAGAAAAGATTCAATAAATAATAAATTTTTAAATATTTCAACTTTTTAAAATTGATTTGTAACTATTTTCTAAATTCGTTTGATTTTAAAATTTAATATAAATTTAAATTTGTATGAGAATATTTGTAGAGAACATTGCAGCACGTGGTTAATCCTAGGATAATAGTATGTTTTTTAATACGGAATATTCAATTCAATAAAACTGCCAAAATTTAAAAAATAAGAATATAAAATACAAACGAGTTAGTTTCGACCTTATCCATAAATTATGGATGATATATATATTTTAAAAGTAATTATTATAATTAAAATTTTGAAAATAATATTGTATACATACTAGTAGTATATATCAATTCAATATATTTAAAAATTAAAAATAATTTTATTTATGTAATTTAAATTAAAAAAATACGATTTTTTTATTTTCTTAAATTTAGAATTATTTTGTAGTTCTTAATTTTTTTAAAATTGAAGAAAAATATAATTATTAATAAATTACGATAAAAAATTATAAATATAAAATATATTAAAAATAAAATATAATCAATGATTAAAACAAAATAAAAATATAATAAAATTATTATTATTTAAAATTAGTGTGACTAATATTAAGATAAAAAATAAAAATTATTATATATTTTATAAAAAAATTGTATTTAAAAAATAATTATAAATTTTGATATTTAAATTTTTGTTTTATCAAAATCGGTTAAAAAAATGTGGTCAAATTTTTTGATTTCATTTTATTATTTTTTTACCGATTGTTTTTTGTTTGTATCAATTTAATTATTTAAAACTTAACTCAGTTCGATTTTCAGAATAATCTTCCTAGGTGTAAATCATTTTGATTTAGTCATACATGACTGCTACAGAAATACTTATCATTCTTACAATAAATAAAAATAAATAAATAAATAAATAAATAAATAAAGAATAGAATAATATTACCTAAACATAATAACGTTTAATATGGTTTGTCATAACCCAGTTTATCTAATACAAGCCAGATATTGCAGAAAAAAAACACATACAGTATTTCCAACACACTTTCAAAACATAAATGCATAATTAGAAGACAAGATACACTGGACATTGAATTCCAAGATAAAATATAGTAGAATTTCAGTACACTCTCGGGAATGAGCATTGCTAATGTGGCAGAAGAAGCTCATTGATGCAAGAATTTTCATCCGAGTTCCTGAATTTCTGCAAAATCACTATTTGGATTTGAGAACAAAGATTGTTTAGGACTTGCTTTTACATGGTTACAAAGAAATTCAACGTCAGTACCTCTGTAAAAGTATTAGCAATCAATCAAAGTTGTCAATTTTGATAGGAGTAATATCATCAGAAACATTGAAGTGTCCAATCACTCGTGCAAAAAAGACCATTTCTTGCTCAATTGTAAACTTAATGTTCTCAGCCTGCACCCAACATCAGAGTCAATGTTTCATTCTAAAAGATAAAATAACTAAATCAGAACACACCTTTCGGAAACCGTGTTGTTCTCCTTCATACTCAACAAGAGCAACTGGCACACCTTTTTCCTTCACTGCCTGGTATATTTTTTTAGCTTGATCCGGTGGTACAACCTGCAGTGCATAGATTGATCAACTTGATTATATAAAGGTTTAGGGGAAAAAATGACAGTTTCCAATTTGGTCCTTCGGTTATTAGATATGGTAAGGAGAAATAATGATAACGGTGTTACTAACTTTGTCCTCCAATCCTTGAAATATTATAATGGGACTAGAAAATTCATCAACATGATTGATTGGGGATCTTTCACGCATCGCGTTTTCATCTCCTACAACCAATTAAGATAGATTAAGCATCAAATGAAAAAAAAAAAAAAAACACGACAAAATTTAGAGGTACCTTAAATGGTCATTGTTCACTTACCAACTAGGTTTTGAACATAATGGGATTCAAACTTATGTGTTTCTGAGCTCAACAAGTTCAAGTCAGCTATCTGTTCAATTGACCACAGTGGCAAGAAAAAATCCATTGAAAGGAGAATAGTTAGGGATTTAAATGAATTGAACAATTCATCAACCATTCGATGTCGACTCGTTCAAGTTTGTTTGTTTAGTTAAATAAGCAAACCCAAACTTGAGATTGATTTGATTATTTAAATGAGTCAGAATTTATATTTTAAAAGTTCAACAGTAAAGACTTGGTATTTTTGTTTTTATGACTAAGCACATTTTATATTAAGTAATAAATAAGTTAAACATGTCAAATTAATGCTATTTTTTTTTAACAACTGAAGCTCATGCTTTTAAATAAGCTTGTTAAAATAAATGAATTAAGCTTGATCAAATTAAAATCAAACTCGAGGTTCAAGAGTTTAATTCTACTCAAATCGTTTAGAGGCTGAACAATAGCTATATTCTTTGGTAAAGTTAGAAAACAAATACTGTATTATACTTGATATTGTTGGCCAAAAGGTTAAGAAAGGTATATGTATAACAATTAAAACTCAAACCTTAAATCTATTTAAAACTAATTCAAGTTGTTGTTTCAAATAACAAACTTTTACTCTGATCGTTAGAACAATGAATTACTCATGGGGAACAAACGGGAAACAGAAGTATCAGAAGATGCACTCACTCCAGCCAAAGAAGCACCAGCCTGAAAAATCTTTCTGAAAGCAAGAACTGCTAAGGTGGTATACCCACCAGAAGAAGCCCCCATTATACACAACCTCTCCTTATCCACCTTTCCATTGTCCACCTATAGAGTAGAATACAAACATCATATAAACCTTTCCAGTACAGATCAATCAATAAAAAAAGTAGGAAACAATTACCAAAAATGTAGCACAACTACAGCAGTCATTAACATCAACTATTCCCCACTGTTTATGAAGTCGTTCTCTGTATGCCCGGCCATAACCTTCCAAACAGTATGAAAGACAGACAAACTAAGTTTCATCTTCTCAAGAAGTAAAGATAACTACAACTAGCTTACAAGTAAAATATTTAATAGTGACAGAAAAAAAATGAATACTTTTTAGCGACCTAAATAAAACAAGGACCAAAATATATATAAGTAAAAGAAATAAGGATGAAAACAAAATTCAGTGCTTCCACTGTGAGAAATGGAGGGTATAGAATAGGTAATATAATTTGGAACAAAATTTAGTAGACAAGATGAGAAACAAACCAGTGCTTCCACCATAATTAACATCAACGACTGCCCATCCTCGACTAGTCCAATACTGAATGCTCAAATCTAAAATTCCACGAGTTTCTTCAGTTGGTCCACCTGAAATATTCAAATAAAGTGATGTACATATAATTGTTTCTGTTACATGAAGGCATTGGAGTGAGAAACCCCACACATGACAACTTCGACAAAAGTAATTAAGTGCAATGTGCAGTAACCAGGTACAACTTAACTCAATTAAGAAATTTTAGAAAGTCTTGTTTTGAAAAAACTGAATTCAGTTAAGAATATTAATGTTATAATTGTTAAAATGAAAGGCTTGAAAAATATTGACAGACAAAATCCTGTTGACACGAGATAGAAATGAACCACAGACAATATGTACTCAACAATGTGAAAACAAAATTACTATTGTCACTTTCATTACAAGGCTCTCACGACCTAAGCAGTATTAGCATACACTTATAATTTTTAAAGTAAACTCATTATCAAATAGATCATTAGATATTCAGCTACATATAAATGTTAGATGCAAAGGGAAGACCCCATTTTCAACATCTAATTGGTCAGACAAATAAATAAGAATATCAAATAGAATGTGATAATTCCAGATTCAGGACCCAGATTTACCGTGGCTCATCAATAATAGTGGAGGTTTTTCATCTTCACTAGCTTGAAAATCAGGATTAGATGGTGGATAAAAGTATGCATAAGCATTTTGGCCAGAAACTTCAGTTGGGAATTCAATCAACTCTGGCTTACTGATGTATGAACTATAGTTTAAACTATCTGGTGAGGAGGACCAGATAATGTTGAAGTCCACTTTCGATTTATCGTCATCAAAAGTCACCTGGAAAGTAAGAGAGTTTTCATGGGATGCATACAAATAACAAAGAAATGGAATGAAGGCTGGAATTCTAAATTGCAGTTGATGTTGTGGTTACGGCTATTGCAGTTGCAGTCATTGTGACAGGTGCATTTCGGAGCGTGCTGTGAAATTAGTATATGATTGCATTTCTATAGCTCTTCTAATGATAATTAGTATATCTTTAATTTCCAAGACTATCAAATACCTCCCAAAACTCCATTAAAACGACAACACCTCATCAACCATGGACACTTGAAATAGAAGATTGAGGTTTGAATCTTTCTTTTTTAGACAAAAAAAAAAGCAGCATGGAATGATGTTAAAGTTCTATTGTGACCCTGTCGCCGCTCAGTTGTAGATGCATTACGGCAATTCACGTGATTTAAAATCAGACCACAATTCAGGTGTTGTAGTAGGCAATTAAAAACCCTTGGTGGAATAATAAAGCACCTTTGCAACTGATGATGGAAGATCCTCAGATGCTCCCTCCACGTACAGGCAATCATTACCAGACGTCTGCAATGAAATGATTCAACAACTAAGATTATTAATGCATTTTAAGAATTTATTTAAAGCAATAAGAGAAAACCAATGAAGTGATTTTGAAAATTACTATGTCGTTTATATCTGTGCAAGGGAAATCAATCACAGTTAGCTTTGAGCCCTCTACATCAACAACACCAAGATATGATTTTCCATGCTGCCTACAACAACCAAACTTTGAATTTAATGTGCGAATTTGGACACAAACCCACACAAATTTGCAAGTAGAAGACTTAGAATCACCTGTAACTGCAAGCAATTAACTGTTTAGAACTTTGAACAAATTCATAAGAATTTATACCAAATGTCCACAGTGGCCTTGTAAACTCAGCTTCCAAAGAATAAACTGACACGACCTTATTCTCAGACTCAATCTGTTGTCAATTATAGGAGTTAAAAAAGGAAAAGTAGAAATGCAAGTAATTAATCATTTTTTCAGTGGCTACGGCATGTGCAAATAGAGAATGCATTCAAGCATGCCTGCAACTGAATTATTTGTTACAGTCATTCTTTTGTACAGAGAAATCCAAGCCAAACAAAAAGGGAACAAGTGATCATATGAAGAGTAAAATACCAATAGAAAGCATTTGAATAACTAATTTAACCTGAACCTCAATGAGTAGATCAAGCCCCAGAAGAAGCTTACTAGAATGAATCATGCATAAAAATTATGTTTACATAAGCTTTTATATAAGCCTTCATTTTTAATTTATGTTTTAAAATTAGCCCTTTAAACAAAATGAGTTTGTCATTGCTGCTAGAAATTTAATTCCAAAAGTAATTAAATCACTCCTGGAATTAAATATCCAGAAGAGTGTTTAATACATCTCATAATAATCAACATTACGGAAGAGTTTGAACACTCTTCTAGACTTTTAATTCAAGAATGTATTAAATATTCTAGGTTAATTAATACATTCTTGACAAATCACTTTCAAAATTATATTTCCAGAAAAGTGTTGAATAAACTCCATAATTAAGGTTCCATAAAGATTTTTAACTATTCTACCAAGATTTTAATTTTGGAATGTATCAAATGTCCTTCCGGAAGTGATATGTATATCATAGATCACTTGCATGGTTAGATAGAAGTAATTTTCGAACAAGAAAATAATGGATGGTGCAATTAAAATAAAAAGTGGCGGAAAAACCAATTTTATTTGTATAAAGTGTAACATAGCAGAAATATTCAAGACCTAATTATTTTCAAGGAACACATGAAATTCATAAGTTAGCTTCTGTAGTAGATCATTTTTCAACTTCTTAATTTAGAAAATTAGAAGTTGTCTCCATTGCAAAAATACACTCACACATACACATCTAAAACATCATAGAAATTTTTTTTTTTTTTTTTTCAAAACTAGCAAGTTTATATTATTCAGCAGGAATTACACCTAACTACGAATCCTTCATCTAAATTTGAGTTTGTTTAATAACCTTCACAAATAGTGAAGTACCATAGTATCAATTTCTACTTAACAAACGTCCAGAATTATATATAAACAACATGATCTTCCACATGATTTTAAAATTATTGAGACTATTAGAGAGTATTTATTAATGCT